AATTGGACCTGATAGACTGGAGCTAAAAGATCACAGATGGAGAGTTTTGCCAAATAACAAAATCTGCATGAACAATTCCAACAGAAGCAACAACTAAAATGGATAGCAGAGGTAACGAGAAGAGAAAATGAGATGATCAAGATGTTGGTTTTCTATACTTACCAAAAAGGTTGCTGTATAACATTTAGTGGACTTGAAGTGGAATTTCTTGAATTTTATAAGTTGCAACAAACAGTAACTCTAATTGTTCAGTGAATGCTGAATGTTTTGTTGATGCAAAACCAACTGATTTTACCATTACCAATATTGCCTTTTATTGGTAGTGACGACCATTCTCTATTTAGTATCTAATAGTATCTCATTACATCATAAGTTCTCTTTTGAGTGCAGATCTAAGGCAAAACTAAAACCTCATAACAAACAACAAAAAAAATAATTCACACTCAAATGTGTATTTACAGAAACCCAAAAAGAAATTGCACCTTTTTTAGATTTTTTATTTTTAAATACTGGTAACCTTGCTTTAAAAGTTGTCATTGATAACAATGCAAGTGGAGGTGCTTTGCATTGAAAAATTAAAAAAAACAAACAAACAAACAACCTAAAACAAGACATGACTTATTTAGTACTTTGGAAAATACAGTATCAAAATTTTGTAGCATCGAAACAAATATTTAATGAGTTTTGTCAGGTTTACACTAAAATAACATCATAATTTATTAACAGGATTCTATTTTCATCAGTCATAGCTGATGTTGTCTAACAAATGATTTGGTTGCTACAGAAAATAATTAGGGCCCTTGTGCTATATCCGAGATGGTGCTGAAAATCATGATTCCCTTCCAAAAGATAAATCTGATGTTTAGTCATTTGATCAGATATTCTGAAGTGGACTGGGCCGAGAACTATTCGGGTACCTCCTGATTATACTGGACATAAAGTGGGGGATTGGTTTTCAATTGTTATTAAGTAATAAACTGATCACCCCAAGAATTACTATATGAAACAATATCAGCACATCCAAGAAGCCTACCCAAAACAAAATTCTGATGTTTGGCCATTTGGTCAGATTTTATGAAGTAGGTCGGGCCAAGACTTATTTAGTACCTCTTCAGAGTATTTATATGATTATACTGGACATAAAGTGAGGGATCGATTTTCTATTGTTGTCAAGTAATAAACTGATCACCTAGATACACAAGTGAAACTACATTAAACTCTTAACGAACTATGCCATCATTTTTAGTAATGTGTAAACTAGTATTAATAGAAGATGCTACTGGTTATAAAGTTGGGGATCAGTTTTATATTGCTGCTAAGTGATAAATCGCCCCAAGAATTAACATATGCAACAATATCAACCCAGCAAAGAAACCCATCCAAAACAAAATGTTTGGTCAGATTTTAGGAAGTACACCAGGCCGAGAACTATTCAGCACCTCCTCAGAGTATTTATATGATTATACTGGACATAAAGTGGGTTTCGGTTTTTCTATTGTTAAACTGATCATCTCAAGAATTACAATATGTAACAATATCAGCCTGCCTGTGCAAGAAGCCAGCCCAAAACAAAATTCTGATGTTTGGTTAGAATTTGGGTAGTGGGTCAGGCCGAGAATTATTCAGCACCTCTTCATAATATTTGTGATTATATAGGACATAAAGTGGGGGATAGATTTTCTGTTGGTACTAAACTGATCCTCCCCAAGCCTGATCAAGAAGCCCATCCAAAACAAAATTCTGATGTGTGGTCATTTGGTCAGATTTTAGGAAGTGGGTTGGGTTGAGAACTTTTCAATAGCCCCCACCCCTACTGATGTATATCATGGATATAGACACAGACATTTATTAGCTCTTGGTATGTTGTTTTTTTTTTTTCTGTTCCTGTAATAGTTTTATCACTTAATGCATGAATACTCATTATAAATACTAAATAATTTTGTTAAACTCATTTCCTGGTCATTATCAGTTATGTTATGCCCCTTCAGTATGTGGGTGATCATGTCTCTCCACAACATCCCGTCCTTTGTAAATTCAACCAATCTTTGGCATCCCTCATCCCTGCTCTTCCATCTATTTTCACAAACTCGTTAAATAAGTTGCTTGCTGTTTTCTTCAATGCATCCTGTGGGTATCAGATTTTCCAAGCCATCTTTCATCATAATGTACCATATCAATTTCAGTTCATTTTTTGATTTTAAGTATGAGTGTTTTTCTAGATCCCTTTATTTTGAAACTTCCTTGTTGTTCACATGTTCTGTCTATAGTATTCTCAGTATCCATATCTGTTGCTTCAAGACTTCCTCTGTAAATAAATTGTCTTGTACTCACAGCCAGGCAGGAGGATAGATATGAAGAAGTAATTCAGTACTCTTATTCTTTTTTTTTTTTTTTTTTTTTTTTTTAATTAATGAAATATTGTTATGTCTTAACACTTAGTTTCTGGAAGACCTCTTTTGCCATTCTGATAATTTTAAACTTCTGTGGTGCACTTTTTGTGGACAATAAAAGTCTGCTATTTTTAAATTTCCTTTCAGTATGCCATTATACAAAAATACATTCATAGGAATTGTCCCATTCTCTTCCTGACAATTTTTTTTTTTTTTTTTTATGCAGAAAGTGTATGTGATATCACCCAGAAACCACTTAGTATCTCAAACTTTTGCAGAAATTCTATAAATTGTAATGACTTTGGTATTTTTTTTCTTTGTACCTTCACGAAAGAAGAAAAAAAATGCACAATCATTGAAACACTTGAATCATATGATTTGTGCAGTTTACTGCAGACAGATGTAGTCTCCCGCCTCCCCAATGTGTTTCTAATGAGCCAATTATAGTACAGAGTAAATTGTGTGTGTGTGCGCAGTTGATAGTCTCATGTAGCACAGGTCAAGTTCTGTAGATCCTTCTACCTGCTCACTCATGTGGATCACCCCTTTTATTGAGGTTTTTGACCACATGCAAATTGCAAGTGATAGGCATTTTTAAACTCATTTCCTGGTCATTATCAGTTATGTTATGAACCACAGTATGTGGGTGATACCTAAATTGCAAATGGCATCCATGACCAGGCAGGTGAGACATTGTGGCCTCTTAGCCACAGGTAAATTGGAATTCCTTGGTCCTATTTCACCACACTCTCAGCTGATCTCATGATCACAAAAAAGTGCACCTGTGTGCGCATTTTTGCTTCTCTGGCTCTGTCTATGCGTTTGAGATGCTCTCATATCATACACACCTGACAAGACTATTTGGTAAAGCTGGTTCATATGCAGGTGATCCGTTGGCAAGTGTATCTTCATGGCTTCTGGGGAGATTGTTTGTACCTGGATCAACCTAAATTGCATGTTTGGTTTTTCCCTGGTATTGTAATACTGAGACAATCTTAAGAAAACTAGAAGGCCTACCAAGATATATTGTTGGTAGACATCTTAGGAATACTAGGTGTGATGGGTAAGTTTTCATCATTTTATATCTTTAATTTTGCACATGAATGTTGTTTTTTATTTTGTCAACTGCACAGTATAGTAGGGTCAGTTGGGCACCATCTGTTAGAAAAAGAGCATCATGATGCAATTCACTAAGAAATTTGGAAACTGCTTGGCATTTTCACCAGAAGCTCCAATACAAACATTTCAAAGTTTTTGGGTGTCAATCTGAGCATTGTGCAGAGGATTCGGAAAGAGTTAAAGTCTAATGGTGATAATGAAAGTGTTTGGAGTGATATCTAGTGATGGTGATGTTACACCTCCATTCATTTTACCACAAGGCCTCAGACTCAATGTAGCAGCACTACATCAAGTGACTTGAGGAGGTACTGCTGCCCTGGGTCAAGAGAGTGGCTGCTGGAAAACCCCATGTAGGGCAACAGGACTGCACCATGCCACACAAGTGGAAGATCCCAGTCATGGATGTCAAACAATTTCTGCAACCACATCACCCCTTACATCTGGCCACCTAACTCTCCAGACTGCAACCCACTTGATTATTATGTGTCAGGCACAGTTGAGTGAGAGACCAACAAAACTTCTTGTAATACCAAAGATGAACTAAAGGCAAGGATTATGGCAGCATTCACCAATTTAAACAAGGAAGCTGTCCAGAAAATTTGCAGGAGATTCTGGAGGCCACGGTTGAAACTAATGGTGATTTTTTTTTTTTTTTTTTTTTTTTTTTAATAAATGTACTCTTTAGTATTTCATGATACTTTCATGTCGTTTTGCTAAATATATCTGTTAAAATAAGATGTCAGTGTTATTTTCATTTTTGCGTAATTTAGATGACAATTTATCCATTGCATCCTGTATAAGATAAGGGAATGACCCTGTATTTATGGCAGACTTAGAACTCTAAGAACTGTAATGGTAAGAATGAAAGGTTAACAGTAAGAAAACAGAACATGTGGTTAGCCGCAAAAGATTCAGCCCAAGGTGTGAGCTATGTATTGAGGATGTCAAAATGAAGCAGGTAAAAAAAAAAAAAAATTATCTAATGAGAAATGTGACACAGAAATCTAAAGGTACATAGGAACAGTGAATGATGTTTTTCAGAGTCTAAGAAAAGTATCAAGATGCAGGAAAATATAATTAAAAACAAAGAAAAGAGTGCTATGTCATATCACCTATGTGGCAGTGAATGCTGGATAATTTCCCTATAGAGGAAGTGATAGATGTGGTTCTTCCAACAGATATTATATATTAGTTTTGTGAATGGAGGGTAGAACAAGGGATAGTAAACAATCAAGTTACTTAGAGCAATAGATGACAGGAAGTTATGGAGAGCCATGAATGCCCTATGTCCTGAATGTACTTTGCACGTGTGAAAGAATGCTAACAGTGTAGAATTTGATTGGTTTTATGAAAGGAACTAAGAAAAAAATCCATTGATAAACTAAAGGGTTTTTATTGTTTGTTTGCATTTTGAGAAGTTGCAATTTGCAGTTTTGTTCTGATGGCATTTATGAAATGTTAGTTTTTGTATCTGTTTTTTTCCCCCCCTAGGTGTGAAATTCAAGATGTTGACATTTTTAGTTTTGAAGATCTCAATGACAAACGTGGCAAGGTTTGTATACAAGTTTTAAAGAATTTTACATTTGTAAACTTTCAACTCCTTGTGTTCTTCATAAAATGATTTTCATATCAAATTTAACTCATTCAAAGCTCATGGTTACTTTTCTTTTCAATAATTTTTTTTATTAGTACTTATGAACAATATATAATCATTCCCCTGTATGTCTGTCTGTTTGCATTGATGTGTGTAAACAAATTTGTTGACTTTTAAAATTGAATTTTTATATGCAGGTTCAATGCTATTGTCACTTAGAATTTAAATATCCTGTTTTGTGAAATATTATTATTATGCAACTCTTGACCTGAACAAATTGAAAATAAATCTGTTTATATTTCGGAGATGAGGTATTATATACACTATTTATATTATTCGGACTATTGTCCTCATCTTTGTTGCTATATTTATTACAATGTTTCGGCCATTGTACACTCCAGCCTTCTTCAGGTGGTTAGAATGTCAAACTGAACCCTTTATTTCGCTCACTGGGGTCGACTGTTCTAGTTCCACGTGCCATGTTTAATGGATGTCAGTTATCAGTTATCTCCTGTTAATTCCACTCTGCAAGTTCTCTACTGCCTTAACCGGGTATTGAACTCACACTCTTTTGGTCCTATCACTGGATCTAACCAACACCTTTATCCACTGTGCTATGCTATGTGTGAGTGAAATAATAAAGGGTTCAGTTCGACATTCCAACCACCTGAAGAAGGTTGGAGTGTACAATGGCTGAAACGTTGTAATAAATATGGCAACAAAGATGAGGACAATAGTCTGAATAATGTAAATAGTGAAAATAAATCTTTTGTCTGAATTTCTGGGATATGGAGTTATCATTATTTACACTATTTATCTGCAGACAATTGTCCTCATTATTTTTGTTATAACAAAGTTTTGGCTGTTGCACCCTCTGGCCTTCCTCAGGTTTATATAGATCTGGTTAACCTACAGTGAATTCTGAACTGAACCCTTTAATCCACAGGGGTGGACTATTCTCATTCCATTGCTCATGTCTCTGGATATTGTCTAATCCTTATTTTTATTTAGTACTGTTCAGTTATTGCTCGCCTGTTTCGACTGAGTGCAAGTACACACTGCCCAACTCATTGAGATTGAATTCACAACCACTCGGGCAGTGTGTAGTTGCTTTCAGTGGCTGAACAGTGCTATATAAAATAAGAACTAGACAATATCCCTAGACATGAGCAGTGGAACAAGAACAGTCTCCAAGTAAATAAAGGCTTAAGTTCAGAATTCCCTGTAGGTTACCCAGATCAATATACACCTGATGATGGCTTGAGGGCACAAGGACCAAAACGTTGTGATAACAACAAAGATGAGGACAGTAGTCCAGAATATAGTGTAAATAAATTTTATTTTACTTGAGATATTATCAGATAATTGATCCCCTTCATGTTATCAAATCATTTCGTTCATCAGCCTCGTTGTGTGTATATTTTGTGAAGGAAGTAAAGTGAGAGAGAAAATTGGAACAAGGCCACTAATATACCAAACAAACCAATCTACTTTGGCAGTTTGAGGTACACAAGACTACACCAAAGTATCCAGATAATTTTAAATGATGTTTTGGATTGGATAGGGAGAGTTTCCAAGCATCTACATTGCTAAGTTATTTACACTATTTACCAGTGGACTATTTCTTATCTTTGTTGTTGTTACCACAATGTTTCGGCTGTTGTACACTCTGGCCTTCATCAGGTGTATGTTGATTTGGGTTACCTACAGGGAATTCAATCCCTGGGCTGAGCAGTGTATAACTGGACTCTGTGGAAACTGTGAGCAATACTAAAAATAAAAATTAGACAAAATATCCCTAAACATGGGCAGTGGAACAAGAACAGTCTACCCTGTAGATTAAATAAAGGGCTGAGTTTAGAATTCCCTGTAGGTTACTCAGATTGATATACAGAGGAAGAGTGGAGGACACAATGGCCGAAACATTGTGATAACAAAAATGATGAGCATTAAAAATTGGTATTCAATTTACAATATATGTATAATTGAAAACTGAACTCTGAGTTTGTGTGCAACATTATTACACCAATTGTTCAATTGCTGATGTGGACATGCTACTAAAGTAGGCCCTGACTTAGCATCCACTTATTTGATATTGTAACAAAATTGGTTTATGTGGGAAAGTAAGAATTCACTTCCCATTTTGTACAAAGTATGTTACCAGGAACCACTGAATGTTCTTTAAAAGCAAGAAGTTTTTGTTTTGTCTTCTTAGAACAGTTTGATTTGATAGAATCAAAGAATTTAAGATATAAACAGTAAACATTTTCCATGATGGTTAAAGAGAACAAGTTGAATTTGCCCTGTAAAAATTTGGTTAGTTTCTACTGAATCGGTAATAACAGATACCAATGTGGATAAAAAGTTGGAGTCTGCTTTGTGTTTTTATATAATATATATAGGACCGGTGGTGGGGAGATTAATCTTATACAAAGCAAGATGGGTCCTGCCTGACCTAGGCTCTCAGTTTACCTCTCCCCCACACATGCCTGTCAACAAACTGAGATTTGTCATAATAATTTGAGGTAAAGTTTTAAAGGCCGGATGTTTTTCTTGACACCTAACTCACACTCATGGCAGTCCAAGTACGCAATGTTTTTATTTTTATATTTTATTTATTTATTTATTTATTTTTTTTTATATTTATTTATTTTTTTTTATTTTTTTTTTTATTTTTTTTTTTAATCAAGACCATCTGTAGGAAGTTTAAAATTCAAGGCCTGAGACTCTATCCTAGTTTTGTATGTGTATTTATATGTAATATATAGTTATACACACATGCACGCGCACATACGTTAGCTATTGACTCTTATAATGTCATCTGCACTTTGACAGCTCTTATTTTTCATCCTCTGGTGTGACATGCTATCCTATTTATTCACCAAAATAAAAGCTAGTAGAGAAGGTGGTTTAAATATCAATCACCTGTCCATGTGGCAGGTTGTACTGGGTTACATGTTACCAGTAGCAGGCTTAAGCCTAACCAAACGAAAAAAAAAAAAAAAAAAAAACTCCTGATTCAAGTATGTAGAAAAATAGGCAAGTGTCGTCATATGTAATGCACCAGCATTCTAATAGTTGAAGAGCACGATAAAATTAAGTTGCAAATATGAAGTTAGTGCACAGATCCAAGGTAATGAAACATTGATTCTAGGCAGAATGTACAGATACTCTGATCCTGGTCAGAACTGATCAATATGTAAATCATATTTATTATTTTTGATGAGTAACGTACTAAATTGGGAAAGAATTGCTTTTCATATTTTTGTTCAGTTTGTATAAAATTGGAAATATGTTAGTGGTTAGTGTCCTATAGTTTTGTGTGAATGCACGGACGGAGGGAGGGTGAGTGAGTATTTAAAAAAAAAAAACACCTTTTTATTTTACCAGGAGGCTGTCATTAATTAACATTAATTTTTCATTTTTGCTGGCAATTTTTTTGTCACCTTAAATTTTTTATTAATTTTTTTGCTATAGAAGTTTGGATAATGCATGGATTATGAATTGGCCTTCTTCACACAAATAGTAGAAACATTCAAAATCTTTTAATTCTTTTGGTCCTACTGCAATGTATGGCCCTAGAAAATATCCCTTAATGACAAGTTAATTTTTGTAAATATTATTGTGATAGTTTTGTCCCTCTCTTTAAAAAAAAAAAAAAAAACTTGTTTAAAAATATATTGGATTTAAAGTAGTGCTTATTTGAAGGTATCAAGAAATCATATAAAACTAAAAAGAATAAAATAAATTTTGTGCAGAAGTCCAAAGGTTTAAATTTTGATTGTATAAAGAAGAAAAAAAAATGTGATTATTGCTTTTAATTTGTGTAGTTGGATAAAAATTAAAACAATGAAAGTAACTTCAGGCTTTTTGCTTTACAGTTAAATTCGATCTTCAAAAATTTAAATGCCTCATCAAGTGTCATCTCCTGTCTTCTTGAATCCTGTTCTCTTATTGTCCTTTCTCCCTAATGTTTTTCTTGGATTCTTTCACTCTCAGTAACTCTTTGCATCTTAGTGGCTTTATTACCTTCCTTGGCGTGAAATATTTTTAAAGAAAACAAACTGAAAAATAAGTTTTTCAGTCTGATTAGCAAACATGAAGTATATTTGTTGATATTTCTGAGATGAGGTATTGTAATGATTTGCACTATTCAGACTGTTGTCCTCATCTTTATTGCTATATTAACAATGTTTCAGCCATTATATGCTCTGGCCTTCTTCAGGATCTGTCTATATTTCAGAGATGAGGTATTGTAACTATTTATACTAATTACATTTTCACACTGTTGTCCTCGTCTTTGTCATATTCACGATTGTTTCGGCTGTTGTATGCTCCGGCTTTCTTTAGGATCTGTCTATATATCCGAGAAGAGTTATTGTAACTATTTACACTATTTACATTGTTTGGACTGTTGTCTTCATCTTTATTGTCATATTCATAATATTTCAGCCATTGTACACTCTGACCTTCCTCAGGATCTGTCTATATTTCTCAGATGAAGTATTGTAACTATTTATACTATTTGCATTATTTGGACTGTTGTCCTCATCTTTGTCATATTCAAGACATTTCAGTAGTTGTGAGTACAATATCTGGCCACAGCAGAGGTGAGCAAAAAACTTGTAGAGTTGAATTACTGAAGGGAATTAACTAAAATTGAGATATTCAGAAAAGGTTTGGCATGCAGAACTAGAGCAATTTACCCTGACGGATGAAATAAAGGGTTCAGTTTGAAATTCCAGCGTATATCACCTGAAAAAGAGTGTACAGTGCCCAAAACATTGTTTGGGCAGTTGTCCTCGTCTTTATTGTCATAAAACAATGTAAATAGTGTAAATGAAGTATGTTATCTTAAATTTCTATGAAATAAATCTTCATCAATTGTTGGTTTTATCAATCATTAAGTTTTAACTCTGATTTGTTCTCTTTTAATTTCAACTTTTGTTTTCATTGCAACTAGAAACATTAATAAATCGCACAGATGGTTTAGTCAAGAATAGGTGTTGTGATGAAAAGGAAGTGAAATTATCATGCAAGAAATATTAGTTAAAATTAATGATGGCTGGTAATACTTTAATAAAAATGAAAGCTGTTAAGTGTGTGAGTGAATGTTGTTTTTTTTTTTTTTTTTTTTTTTTTTAAATTATAATCATTTCACCCCAAGCAAGGCAATAACACCACTAAGATGCAAGAGGTTACTGAGTGTTAGAGAATGAGAAAAAATTCTATTAAGGAGAGAGAACAGTAAAAGAATTAAGAAAGCAGAAAATAACGATTGACATTACATTTAAATATTTAAACCTTAAAGTTTTCTGGAAAGCAAGAAGCCAAAAGAGTTCCACAAGCGAGAAGTGCAATAGAAGAAACTGTATTTGCCAGTGTCAAGGGCACAGTTTTTTTTTTCCCTGAAATAAGGATCAAAAATTTGCTGTGGTTAGGGTTTTCATAGGCCTATGTTAACCCCAGAGGAAGGTTATCTATACCAGATGTTAAACTGAATTCCTTTGTTATATAATTTTTTGAGATTTATTTCAGGAAAAAACTGCATTCTTGATGGCAGCAAATATGGTAGTTAAAATAATAAACATTTATTTTCTGCCAGCTAGACATGTTTTGTGCTAGAAATCAATGGACACTGGTTTATGTAAAGCAGCAGATGAAATATCATTTTACTGTATGTTTTGCTAATATGATTCCTGTAAAAAAAAAAAATCCCAACTCATTAAAGAGTGTAGAGGAGGATAAGTTCATATAGTAAGCATTTATCTTCTGCCAATGATAAAAGCCCTTGTAGCTGCTACAAAATTAAGATAACAATCCTATAGCATAAGGCTGGGGTGGCCAAACTGCAGCTCACAAGCCATGTGCGGCTCTTTGACCTTTAATATGTGGCTCATGGAAATCTGTTGGCTGAGCTCCTTTTTTCATGACAGTTAATATAAAAGGTAAATATGAAACATGTCAAGCTTTATAATTATTTACTGGGTATGAATTGAAACCCCATTGGATTAAAATACAGGTTTAATGTTCATGGTTAGTAAAAATATTTAAGAATTTAATTCTTAATTTTTAATGCTAGATCGGAGTGAGTCATTGTTCTTTAGTGCTGAGAGAAGGAATGGTAGAAGGCAGAGTGATCAAAGAAATTTCTGCTCTGCAAGAGGGATGTCAGAAGACTGAGGTCATGGGTAAGGGGTTTAAGAGACCTACACTCATGATGTACGTATATAATTTTGTTGCTGAAATGCAAATTCGCACATTTTTCTTAGAAGTTTCCATAGTTCATTACTGTATTAAATATGCACAATATAGTTAAAATAATCATCAGTTAAGATTTTGAAAACATTTTTTTTTGTGTGTATATATATATATATATATATATATATAAAAAGAAAGAACAGCAAGATATATAATCCAGTGTTCTTATAGATATTTTTATTTTTACAAAATAGTGCTCAATGTAAATTTACAGAGCATTAATATTATAAATTGATTTAAAATATGGTTGTTTTTTTTTTTTTTTTTTTGAAACATGGTTAGAACTGTGTAGCAAAAAAACATATTTTAAATCAATTAATTTATAATATATATATATATTGTGTGTGTGTGTACATTGTGATTACTGAAAGCAATATAGATTAACACTTTAAAAAACTGCATACATAAATAAATATTATTGCAAACACGCATTTCTTGATATTTATATAAAGAATTCGTATCAAAATGTGTATATAACCTATATGTAAATTTTGTTCATGTCTTGCAGCTCTCAAGCATCTGAAGTTTATTGCATATGGCTCTTACATTAAGCAAGTTTGGCCATCCCTGGCATAAGGGATGATTGTTTATATCTTGCTGAGAGCTTATACATTATTTTTGGTTTGCACTGTTATTTAACCAACTAAAGGTTTTTTTTTTTTTGTTTGTTTCAATTCACCCCAAGTAAGGCAATAATACTACTAAGATGTAAGGTACTACTGGGATTAAAAGAGAATCAGAAGTCATTAGAAGGAACTAGGAACTTAAACAGAAAACAAGTGATAAACCTCCTGTTCAAAAGATTGGAGAGGAGTGTTTGGCAAACCATTTAACTTCTATTTAAGGAAAAAAAATCAATAGTAAATAAAATTTCAGAGTTTAGGCAGAGATGTTAGAAGTATAGAGTAGAAGTAGTCTTTTAGAAGGAACCAGTGTTTATCTAAGACAAGCCATGTTACTTCCAGAATGTTGAATCACACTCATTTGCACCTTTTTAAGATGAAAGAAATGCTAATCAAAAATTACAAATAATTAAATGCTTTAACAGACAAATGTAATTGATTTGTTATAATCAGATATCGATTATCTGTTTTTCATTCTTTATTTCTGCAAATTCCAAATAATCAATTTTAGGATTTGTTTTATGCATGTCACTTAAAATATTTTTTTTTCCCTTCCTCTTTCAGCACACAGAATTTGTGAATCGTTTTTACTATCCTGGGCAGCAACTGCGTGGGGTGATGGGTGACTTACGAGATGTTGAATGGATCCACAGCACACATCTTTACAATAAGACCACTGCAAATAATAAACAACGCATGAATGTGATTGTGGTTGTAGAAGAGGTACACAAATTGTAACCATTGTTGCTTGAACTTTTTATTAATGTCGATAGGAAAGCAATTGATTTTTGCGATTAATCTCTTGCTATTGGTGCAGCTTGCTGCATTTCACAATCAGCAAATTAACATCTTTTTGAGAATGGCTGATAAAATGTTTTTATTTTCAGAGCAGCTGATGAGATGTCTTCCCTCTCCACCCATTGTGTTTTTTTTTTTTTGTTTTTTTTCTTTTTTCTGTAGGTCTTCGAACTCCTGGCAGTGAATTGGATGGTGATTAAAGACAAATCATAGATGAAAGTAGTGAAAGCAATGATTGCCATTAACCAGCTGATAAAACATAACAAAAAATGTTTCAGCCCCAAGGAGTTAAAGGGCATCTATAAAGAAGCATATTTACTATACAACTTTATACGTGCAGAATTTAGTGGAATTTTATGAGGGAATTAGGATCATTATCTGGTCTCAGATGTTTTCCAAAAAAGGCTTCAGTAATTCTTCTCTATAGTACATGTAATTATAGACTCACACTTTAAATTCTACCTTGTGTCGCATTCTGTTCAAGTGTGTATGCAGATAAATAACCTACTTTATTTTACTTCCAAGCTGTGATTGAAATACTGAGGTTGTTACCATTTTCAGAGTATAAAATTGCTTTATTTCAATAACTAAGCAACTTAAATATAAACCTCATAAATAAAACAATTGTTTATTAAGATCACAATAAACAGAATGGTGATTAATACCAAAAATTATTTTAAATTTTATATTTAAAGTAGAATATGCGAATTAGTTATCACCATTAAGCAAGAATCACTAAGCTGGATGTGAAATAAGACATTTGTTAGATATAAAATGCATTTGTTTAATTTCAAAGTTTTACATAATAATTGAAGTCCTAGATATGACAATAAACCTGATTGGAAGATTGAAGGTTTTGAAGAGTATGGGGCCACCTTTTAATTGCTGTTGTTCTCACATCTACCTTGACTCAGGGTGGTAGCAACTGTTAGGGCAAATAGTAATCCCACCCAAAAAAAAATCAAAACAGGAAAATTATAAAAATACATTTTATAAAAAAAGATCAAACATTTTTATAATAAAGTGACCAGCAATAAAACATTAAAAAAGCATAAAAATACATATTTATGATAAAGATGACCAAGAATGCATTTGTATAGTAAAATGACCAACAATACATTTTGTAGTGAAATGACCAGCAATACAACTATAAAAAAAATATAAAAATACATTTCTATAAAAAAAAATTGACCTGCAATACATTTTTTTATCATCTACAAACTATATATCTAAAAAACATTTATCCATAAAGTATAAAATTTATTATTAAATAACTACTATAGGTTGATACATTGCTAAAAAAATCAGCCAAGCAAAACATGATTTTGCACATGCAGATAGATAACCAGCTTTATAAATTTAATTTTCAGCATTTTGAGTGGGACATGTTTGATATTTTATAATTGTGTTGTTTGCCATATAACTGTTTTTAATGTTGGGAATAAAATTTTGTCATTGTGAATAATGTTAAGTTTTTTTTTGTTTTTTTTTCTTTATCATTTAAACTTTGTTTCATGAGTCAATAAAATGCCTTCTGTTTAGTTTGAGCATTTGCAGTTTCTTGCCGGAATTTTGTTAGAGGACCAGGTTTAATGATTCTATAGGCTTTTCTTTGGACTAATTTTGTCATTTTTGGTGTTTGTCTCTCTCATAATGCATGTACCCTCTAGCTTTATTTATCTGTTGCCAAATGCCACCTCAGGTGAGTATAGGAAAAAAGGGGTGTGCTTTAGGAGGGATGTACATGTAAATAATATTAAAGTATATATTTAATGACAATTTAGATGTACATTTATTTAAAAATAGAAGTTGTCTAAATAAAAACCAACTCTGATGAAGCAATCATGAAATACAAATATTAAATAGATTGCAATGAAGCAAAGTTTCTGTGAGTTGCATTTGATCAATCTGAAATATTTTTATTTAATTTTTTTTTTTTTTTTTTTTTTCTTTCTAAGGTGAAAACCAAAGATGTTGAAGTCCATTGGTCATGTTGTGGTTTCAAAAATGCATCTAGCACTGAGGCACCACCTTCAATTGTTAAGAGAGAAGATCTGGCAAGGTTTGTGTTGTTATTGTTGGTCAAATATGAGATCTCATTGCTATTCCAGGATTCTTTGGAACTAGCAATTTAAATTTGCTTCTTTCTCTGATTAACATATTTGAAGTGCTTCATCGGGGTTGTTTTTCCCAATTTTGACCACCCATTTTTTTTTTTTTTTTTTTTTTTTTTTTAAATATACACTAGGATATGTTTCACAATATAATCAAAATTAAGCTTTTTGAATGTGATTTATTATTAGTTTATTGAAAAATTCATAAAGTTTATTAAAATCAAAGCGGTAAAAATGGACTGGTTAAAATAAGAAAAAATAACAAATAAAAGTAGTAACAAAAAATATTACCATAAAGTGATAATACTGAAATGCAACGCAACAAAAACAGCTAAGCCGGTTTATCAATCCTTCCTTATCAATTGTGGATGGGAAATATGCATAGTGACTAAGATGAACACCAAATACCATTTGTTATATAATAAATATATAACAATTATAGACTAATTACATTTAAGCTTAACAACCACTCCTGCTTATGTAGAGATGACTGATAGGACTTAATGTAAATAGATTCAAACATCTTCAAATGAAATTCAGAATTAGCCTTCCTCAATACTGAGAACACGTCATTGACAACATCAGTATAAAGTTTGCTAGGCAGATTTCTGTTTGTGAAAACACTTATTTGTCTGCTAATCCACATATGATCTTTGTTGCCTGACCAATGTTGAGACTGATCTGAAAGCATGTTCTCTCTCCCCGTCATATTAGTTGGGTAATTTACCAATTCAGGGCGAAAGTTGGAAGCAAGGATTAATCACCATGTACCAGTCAATGTTCACAAAGGTAAGGTGCACAGATGCATGAATACAGCAGAATCATCAGTAGCTGAACATATGTTAAAAAATCAGCAATGTGCCCAGTCTTATAACCAGGATATGTTCTCAGTACAAAAGAAGAGTAATTATGAATTTCATTTGAAGATGTTAGAATCTATTTATATAAAGTCCTACCAGCTATGTCTTTGTAAGCAAAAGGAGTAGCTGTTGAGCTTAAATGTAATTAGCCTGTAATTGTTACATATTTATTGTATAACATTTGGTGTTCATTTTAGGAGCAGTGCACAGTTTTTGTCCTAAATTGACCTGATGAGAGGACTGATAAACTAGTTTAGTTAGTTTTTTTTTTTTTTTTTGCTAATTGTGTTGTATTTTGATTTTAACACTTTATGGTAATGTTATTTATTCTATTTTATTTTTGTTACTCTTCATTTTTTTTTCTTGTTTTAAAATGTCAAATTTTATTGCTCTCATTAAAATCTGTATATTTATAGCTTAGTGAGTATAATTATACAAATTTTAATTACAATTTCTCTAATGATAAGATAAAGAACATTTCTATTAGCAGCAAAATAACAGTTAGATATGATTGTTTTTTAAAAACAGTGGGTAAGAACATGATTGAATAACACGTTCTTTAAATATTAAATGCAAATTTCTGGGATGTAAAGTTATCACCATTTACATTATTTACATTTGGACGAATATACTCATCTTTGTTATGATCACAAAATTTTAGCTTTCTGGGATGAGGAATTATTGTTATTTACATATTTAAAGTCAGACTAGTATCCTCATCTTTGTTGTTCTAAACACTTTGGCTTTCTGGGATGAGGTATTATCATTATTTTCAGTCAGACTAATATCCTCATCTTTGTTGTTATTATAACATTTCCGGTTTCATGGGATGAGGAATTGTCATTATTTACAGTCAGACTAGTATCTTCATTTTTTTTTAAAGATTTTGGCTTTCTGAGATGAGGTATTATGATTATTTCCATAGCCATACTAATATCCTCATCTTTGTTATTTTGTCTGAATTTCTGGGATGCGGAGTTATTGTTAGTTACATTATTTACAGTTGGACTTGTCTTTATCTTTGCAACAATTTGGCCATTGTGTTCTCCTGCCTTCTTCAGGTGTCTGTTGATTTGGGCAACTTTCAGGGAATTTTGAACTAAACCCTTTATTTAATTCATGGGGGTCAATTGTTCTCATTCTGCTGTCCACTTTTAATGGATCAATGAACAATCTGTCTTTGTAAACTTAAAGTTAGACACCTGGAGAAGGCTGGAGAACACACAAGGGTTGAAACCCTATAATCAATTATAAAGATGAGAACATTAGTTTGAATGAAAATATAAATAACAAGATCATTTATATATTAAATTTATTTTGACCAAGAACATAATGGCTTTTACTGCAAAGTTAATATGTGTAGCATTTGATTAAATAAAAATTAATAAAATCTTTAAATTTTATTTGAAAGATTTCTTTTCTTTATTTCTATTTGTTCCAGAATGAAAAAGTTAGATTGGTTTCACCATAGCTCCATTCAAATCGGTGATAAGGCTTATTATATTATCAAAGACACTGATATTATTCTTGATCAACAACCAAAACACCACACTCGGCAGAATGTTTCAAATGGGGGACAGGCTTGCACCGGATTGACAAATGGCTTCACTGACGCTAGGAACGGCAGTAAAGCCACTGGGGGGGAAGAGGAGGAAGACAGTTGCATAAATGGAACTGAGATGGCTGCAGGAAAAGACCAGGATGAAAAGAAGCCTGGAAACTCTCAGAGTAAGGTCATCACTAACATTGAAGAAATTGAAAACCTTGAGGAGTATGAGGAATTAGATGATGACGATGAATCTGACCAGGCATCTGCAACTTCTGGTCACTCCAATGCTTCCAGTTCTTCGTTACGGCGGAAGAAACCAGCTCATCGTGGTCCTACCCTTAAAACACAGTTGATGAAGAAAGTGCGGGGTAGAAAAGCACGCCAGAAAATGATTTTGCCAGAAAGAGAATTGAAATCGGGAGAAAAAGTGCCTGTCGAAGTCTGCTACACATTCTCTAGAGTTAATGTAATGTGGCAAGTAAGTTTGATATTTTCTTAATCATTTTTAATCTTTTTCTTTTCTCTGGCTTTTTCTTCTTTTCCCTCTCTGGCTTTCTCTGCGCGTTTCTCTGTCACTTGCTCTCTCTGCGCGTTTCTCTGTCACTTGCTCTCTCTGCGCGTTTCTCCGTCACTTGCTCTCTCTGCGCGTTTCTCCGTCACTTGCTCTCTCTGCGCGTTTCTCCGTCACTTGCTCTCTCTGCGCGTTTCTCCGTCACTTGCTCTCTCTTGCGTTTCTCCAATTCCTTGCTCTCTCTCGCTGCGTTTCTCCGTCACTTGCTCTCTCTGCGCGTTTCTCTGTCACTTGCTTTTCCTGTCTTTCCCATTAATTTTAATTTTATTTATCTACTATACATACAATATTGAACTTGTCAAACTCTCTTCTGGCTTCTTACTCTGATCTTCAAAAATTTAAATGAAATGTCAGTTGTAATCTTCTTTCTCTTAATGTTCTTTTATTGTTCTCATGACTTTTTATATTCTTTCACACTTAGTAACCCTCTGTGTGTTGGTGGGTCTGTTGCCTTGCTTGGGAGCGAAAGGATTAAAAAAAAAAAAAAAAAAACATCCTTAAACAGATGAGGGCAATCAAACCTTTTTTTATGGATGACCACATCATTATGAACCCTTTGTAAAATGGAGCAATTACTGGTGTCCAAATTTTCCGTCTAAACAGAGTAGCCCTGAACTCTCTCTCTCTATATATATATATATATATACACACTAGCTTAAAAGCCATCCTATTAGGCGGGATTTAAGCTAGCACCTGTGGAGGGCTCTTGATTGAGTCTTCAGACCAACAATAACATTTCATGCATTGAATACATATTAAATTTTATTAAACTTGAATAATATTTTTCAAACAATTAACAATTTTCATCAAAACAGTGATATAATTTGTCTATTTGAAACTTATTGCAAGGCTGCATGATAAACATTTTTGGTTTTCCTATTCAGGGTCAGTACAAATAGCTTGTTTTCATTCGTAACCTTTGAACAACCAACATAGAGCTGGCTATGAGAAAAGTAGGGTTGCATCAAATGAAGTCCAGTTATTTTCAATGATTGTACTTGGGACATATTGATTGACATTGCATAGCTCACCCCTCACTGGAAACTGAAGTCTTTTGAACTCAAAAGAAAGATCTGGAAGAATTAAGGAGATTCTTGGAATTAACTCTTTTTTCCTTTTCTGTACCAGTAAGGATCTCTGCTTCCAAGAGATGAAGCATCTTGATAATTAACCTTGTTCCATTACAAAGCTTTGGAGGATCCAGATTTCTCAAGAGCATAACTGGCACATTTTCTTTTAGTTCCAGTTTGTGATGGCATTCCAGGAGGATTCAATGAGTTCAGGAACTCTATTGAATAATTCACTGCTTGCTCAACCACATTGACAGTGAAAAAGTACATCATGATTTCTTTTGGAATTTCTTGGAGAAGTTTCCAGTTGGTGCTATCCAGTTTGATTCTTGGGAGCTAATATGGCCCTCTCACAAAGCCAGTTTGAATCCATGAAATGGGGTTTAATGTTTAGATAAACATGGTTAATCAAGTCTTGGATACTTAAGGCTGAAACTCCACAACCATTTAGGAGTGAATTATCTCTATTTTGGTCCATTTTGATGGTTCCATTATCAAACTGCAATAACAAAGCAGCAAATCTTCCTGCTTCAAGGTCAGCTAATGTTTGTTTTCAGGCCGAGTCTTTCAGCATTGCTCCAGATGTAAGAATTTTTCAGGCAAGCATTGATTTCATTAGCTGGAGTTCCTCTTGCAATGACTTCTAATGTTTGTCTAAAATCACCAGTGATGTCTCCCATGATTTGTGAATGCTGTCTAATGCCTTGGAGTATTTTGTCCAGGGCCTCAAATGCTCACTTGTGTGCCATGGTACATTCATCCCAGATAATGAAGCTTGTTTCCTCTAGTAGCTTAGCCTAGCCAAGTTAGTTACTCTTTTGATGTTGTAAATAGAGGCTTCATTTTAGTTCAAATCCAATGGAATTTTGAAGGTGCTGTGTGCCCTCCAAGCAAAAGGGTAACAGCAATTCCAGAAGATGCTACTGTTAGAGCTACTTTTCTTTGGAGTCTCACTGCAGATAAAAGAAGGTTAGTTACAAAAGTTTCACCATTACCTCCTGGTGCATCCAAGAAGAAAATCCCTCGATTGTTGTGGCTGATATCATCAAGGACCTTTTGATACACTTGCTGTTCTTGCTTCAACAGTGGCTCATTGTTTTGAATACATTGCCACAGTTCTTCATGTTGCATCCTGTTTCCCTCAAAATTTCTCTGTTTGGATTTGGCAGACCAAAATGGCTGAGATTGTTTCAAGCCAAATTCATCACTTTTTCTTCAATTTCACAGAGAGCTAAATTTGCAGTCTGTGGATTCAATTCCAATCCTGGATGAGCAAGTCTCATTTGATGAATAATATCATCACTGAGAGATTCCTGATATTTTTCCCAAAGAGTAACTGGGTTGGAAAGTTTGCCGGTAGCAATCATTACTGCAAACAGATGACTTTTTTTGAAGAATTTGTTGCAACTGCTTTCTGAAGTGTTATATTCCAATGATGATCATCTAATGTAAAGCCAAGCTTGATATATGCTTGTCTGTATGTTTCTTTGACAATTCCATCAATTGTTCTCAAATCTTTAAACGATGTTGAACCTCTTAAGTGATGAAACAACAGTATGAGAAAGAAGCATTCAGGATTTCTTGGATGGACTGTATATACTCTTCCAAGTACATCTTTCATTTTAATTCCAGGTTCAGTTAGATGAAGCTCTCCTTGCTTTCTCCTCTGAAATTTTCTAGCCTTGTAGGTGGTGTATTTGTGAACTTTAGGGTACAGGATTGTTCTTGCAAAGTCATCATTTTGACACAGTTCTAAAAATATCATTAGTGTTGTGTTCTTAGGAGTTTCAGCTTGTTCTCTTGCATTTTCTTCTGTGAAGTAAACTCTTTGTTCATTTTCCAAATGAACTGACAGGTGCTGAATTGAAGGTCTTCGGTCATGAATTGGAATGTTAAGAATCCTCCAGGCAGCCTCATTGGAAGAGTTTCGGCCCATTAAAAACTTTTGAACTTCATTTTGATTTTCTAGACTAAATACTGCTTGGTCACTTCCCTTGTTAATGTATTTACATACATATTTAATTGACTTGCTGCTGATGCAGTATTCTACATTTATGTGAGCATCAAATCCTTTGCTGTTCAGTGGGCAAAAAGGAACAATCCACCGATTATCAATGACATTTTCTTGTCCTCTTTTATTCTTTTATTATTATTTGTGACCTCCATCTTCTGGCTTTCTTCTTTTGTATTTTGGATAGCCATCAAGATCAGATTGAGTATCTTTGATAAACTACTTTGGAAAGTCTTTGCTGCACTTGTCAATCATGCAACAAGATTCAGGATTGAGAGAACCACATAGGCCATAAAAGTCACCTATTTTTCTTGAGTTAACTCAAAGCCCATTTAAAAAAAAAAAACATTTTAGGCTCACTTGTGAGCCTAAGGCCGCAAGTTGATAATCATTGTTAAGTTAACATATAATTCTTTATATTCATAAGCAGGTATTTACGCACTCCACTATTTTTGGAGCTGCTCAAAAAAGAGCGGCTCTTTTTCGGTGCTCCATGGGTTAAAATGTACGTTCTTTCATAAACGTTGGACATTTATTGGTTTTAAAAATCTTTCAAAAATAATATATATATGTGATAAGTTATCTGAGTAAAATTAGCAAATTTAAAGTTAAATTAATCTGATTTGAAACCAGCATTATTTACTTTATCATAAAAAAGTAATATACAATCATTTCAACTGAAAAATGTGCAAAAAAACTAATGCTAACTATTATGTTACCACTGACCTTAAAAAATATATATATATATATATATATATATTTTAACCAAAATTTTGAATGTGCTAGAAAGAATTAAATTTTTTTTAAAATAATTAAAAAATACTTTGGTCTTTTCTCTTATTAATAACAAACATCTTTGCAATAAAACTTTGTTTTTAAGTTTGGGGCCTTTTTCATCATGCTATGCTGTTTTTTTTTCTCAAAATAGTGAACATGCCTACTTTTATCTAGTGAATATAACTAAAAAATGAAGTATGGTTATTAAATTTTCTTAAAATCAATGCTAAGAACAAATAGATACTTTTTCAGAAAGTCTTGGTTTTATTGTAAAGAACACATCACAAAATATCAGTTGTTTTCAACTAATTGCCAACTTTAATAAATTAATTTTCTTGAAAATATTTTAGTGTCGAAAGTAACCTTTACCGTAGTTTGTTTTACGAACAGGCATTTAAAAGATCTTGATAGATGCATTGTAAAACTTTAGTTACAGTTTTAGGGCAAAAAGTTATTCTTGTCAGTGTTCCAGTTGGCAAGGGGGAAACATATGAAGATATTACACTTTGAACAACAGAGAAACACAAATCTTCTGTTGTCAAGAGTTGTAGCGATATGTTATATTATTTCTCTGGGGCGTTGAACAATAATGGGTAGGAAAATTCGGGAAGTATAAAATAAAAGTCAATTAAAAATTGATTTTAGGGCAATTCTGGAGTGGGGGATTTGGGGGCTAATCTCCCCTACTGTATTTTTAAATCACTGAAAACCGTGGGGTGAAGAAAAAAAAACAAAAAACCTTACAACAATAAGTCATATGTGCAGAAAGGAGGTTTGGGGGCTAATATACGTTAAAAAGTAAATTAGAATTTTATTTCAAGATAAAAAGTATCATTTCAAACCAAGAATTAATTTTATTCAACATTTGGGCAAATATTAAGGGGAAATAGGCAAGAAAATCCAATGGAAGTTATTACCCATAACGATTTCATTTATTTTTTTTAATAATTTTCTTTAAATGATGATGATAATAATAATAATGGCAAAACTGTATACAAAAGTAAATTGTCAGTAAATTAAAAAGAAAACATTGATTTATTTATTCATTCAGCAATGAAAAATTTGTCTTAAAAACTAAAAAAGTTCAAATATCTACAGACAGCTTTTATACTCTCTCTCTGACACTCATACACACATACATATCTCATGAAAAAATGATATCAAAGACTTTCTACTGAATGACTCTTTTGAAGACATTCTTTCAGCTAGTCTCCAGCAACTTAAAACTAGGTGTTAGTCACTTGCCTCTTTACCAAAACACGAGAAGAAGTTGAAGTAACCCTAACCCACACATTTTCTCACTCTCTCTCTCTCATACATTTACCACAGATATAATAAAAAATAACTCAAAGAGTTTAGCTCAGATTTTTCTTTTTTTATTGTTGAATACAAACTAATGTTTAGAAAAATTCAAATAATTTTGGAGCAAGGGGAGGAGCACTCCCTCCCCACTCTTTAGTCTCAAATAGAGCTGCTCACACTCTACTCCGGTTGAATATAAAAAGAGCCCTCTTCTCCTTTGCTCCAGGAAAATGGAGTGTGCTCCTTTTTGGAGGGCTTCGTAAAGCCCTGTTCATAAGGGTGCAATTTATTATGCTTATTTTGTAAATTTCTGCTTGATCTTAAATGTATATTATAAATAAAAAAAATAAATTTAAAAATAATGAAAATATATATTTTTTTCTTCTGCAGGATGGTTCTGTGGAATTGGGTATTCCATCTCCAGATTTGTTTCCGATCCACCATTTAGATGAATTGGAATTTTTCCCTGGAGATTATGTGTTGGATGCAAAAGGTAAATTCTGAATTAATTTGTATGAAACACTTCATAAATATTAGATCCAAATATCAAATTGTTTTTTTTTTTTTTTTTTTTTTTTTTTAATATAAAGAAATAAATTGTTTTTACCTTGGCTTGAAAAACTTTTTATTTTTAAATTTAAAAGAAAAATGTTTGAAATTTTTTTTTAATCATTTCACTCCAAGAAAGGTGATAATGCCCCTAAAATGTAGGGTGTTGAAAGAGAATAAAAATATGAATTCAAATGTCACCAGCTGTCAGAGCTGACAAAGTAAGCTTGACTGAAAAGGACCTCCAACCAATGGTTAACTGGGGCAGGAAATGGCTTGTAAATTTGAATGCTTCCAAAACAAAACTATTCTCATTTATGCACTATAGGGAAACTTTTCTGCCTGTCGTCAGCATGGCTGACTGACACACAACTCCTGGAGAGCAATGCACTGCGCCACTTGGAAGTGGAGTGACTAGATCAAATTAATAGCTGCATCTACTGCAAGGAAATTTGGATCACTGTTGTGCCAAGAAATTCTTATCAGTGTCCGCTTTGCACATTTACAAATCTACCATTCATCCGTGCATTGAATACTGCTGTCATATCTGCTCTGGTGCTTCTGTTATTCATCTTGAGGTTCTTGACAAAATCCAAAGAAGGATCTGTAATGTAATCAATCCAGACTTGGCATTTTGATTTCAGTCACATTCTCACCGACATGACATAGCTCCTCTGTCTTTCTACAAATATTTTCATAACAATTGTTATGATGAGCTTTTTTTCCTGATGCCCCAACCATATGAATTTAAGTTGTGCTACGAGATTGGCATCTAGGTCCCACCTTTTTACTGTTGAAATAGCTAAATGCAACTGCCACTTCTATGCTAACAGTTTCTTTTCTCACACTTCTCCCTTCTGTTTACTTGCTTCCTTGATAACTACAATTTTAAAAAAATCGTTATCTCCTGTCTTGTTGAATCTGATTCATCTTTTATCCTTTCCTCAATCCTCCCTATACTGTCTTTTCTCTCACTTTCACTCCCTGTAACCCCCTGCATACTAGTAGCATTCTTGCCTTGCTTGGAGTGAAATGATTAAATAAAAAAATAAAAAAAATATTCGTTTTCTGTTCTATGCTGCTCACTTATAGAATAACAACCTGAGATTTTTGATAAAAAGTAACAAAAATAAAATGAAATAAATACTTGTCAAAAATTAGTGACAATACTTCATTTAAGAAAGTCAGACTATACAACTATTTTAGTTTTTCCCACTGTTCTAAACCTGCACTGTGGGACCCTGTCTTTCACTGACTGGTCAAATCAGCCCACATTGTTTTGATTCTTGTTTGCATCAGTACCCCCAGAAAAATTAGGAATGTCCTGGTATATGTTTACAAGGAATGAAAACTGGAATTTTATTTCCAATAAATGTACATGTTTGTTCATAGATTCGCAATAGCGCTGTTTTTGTTGTGGAGGGGAGGAGGTTAAGTAAAAGAAGCTTGGACAACTTTACTGTTACTTCTGTCAAGACAGACTAACAAACCAGATCTTCCCTTCAGTCAGTGAGAAATCTGCCCATCTTTAAATCATGATGTGCATCATGCAACTCTCCAAGAAAAGAATCAGCAATATTATTGGTCCTAATCTGGCATCTCAGCTTAAGTCACTTTCCCACCACCGTAATGTAGGATGATTTGGAACTATTTACCATTCTAACTGTGACTACATTTATATAAGCCTGCAAAGGGAACTTTCTAACTTCCAGTCAAGTGGCACTTTATCCTGAAAGTTTTATTGGTTTCTTGTTTACTTTATTTCCCTTTGGTCAATGGGTGGTTGTTTTGAATATCTTACTTTTATCTGCTACATTTTTGAGATTTCCATATCAAGATTCTTGTATTTTGATAGTTTATTATTATTATATGCTTTGCTATTTGGTTCAGCATGTCCATCTTGATTGTTATGCTCGCAACATTTCGACTGTTGTAACCTAAGGACTTCTTCAGGTGTCGGTCTTTGTGTTGTATCTTGTGTTTTTGAGATAAGAGGGAAAGAAATAAGGAAGACAAACTTGTAGGTAAGTAATGAAATAGGTTTACTACAAAAAGGTACAATTAGCAATTGATCTAGTGCTAACTCTGCTCAACTCTGCATACACTCCGCTTATTTACATTACTGGACGATACCATTCATTTATGTTCTATATGACATTCTGTACTCTGTAGCCTTCTTGGCATTTCAGAGAAGGCCAGAGTGTACAGGGTGCAGCAGAAATACCTCCCACTTAATGGTAAGACATTAGTGGCAATGTTGTGTTCATCTAGTTAATGTTTTAACATGATGTGAGGAGTGGGGTATTTCTGCCACACTCTGTATAATCTCTGAAATGTGAGCATAATCAAAATGAGTATATTGGTCTAAATAGCAAAGCAGATAATATTGAGAATCCTTGGTTGTGCACTTGGGATTAAATTAACAAAATAATGCTTGAAGGATAATTATTTTATCATTTTAACGGTCCTTTAATTATTTTAAAAAAAATTATTTTAATTTTGTTTTTTATTTTAAGATTCTGGAACAAGCAATGTATATGGTGTTGTTGTCAGCTGTAACCACGCTGAGAGGACGTGTTTAGTCAAGTGGATGAAAGCTTACGATGCTGGGAAGTCTAATCGGTCAGTAAAAAATACAATGTGTTTATCACTTAAAAAAACAAAAAAAAAAAAAAAACAACTTTTATATAATAGAATCTTTTTAGAATTTGGTTGTTTAATGAGCAACATCACATGTTGCCAGTCTTCTGTGGTCTAATGAGCAACGTCACACATTCCAGAGTGGCGCTAGTGTTGTAATGTTAACAGGAGCACCTTGGTGGGTCTTCTGCTTCCATTGATGCTAAAGGGCAATGAACTGACCTGCTGGATATACGTCTGATACCTCTTCTTGCATTGGATGGGACTTGTGCTAGTGTCACTTGTCTGTATACATTTGACACTGTAGCTCAAGGGATGTCAAAAGTGCTCCCAAAGTTTCACAAATGGAATGTCCCATAAGTCAGATTCCGTTGCTAAGAGAAGACTAGTTGGTTTTCACACTGATTCACCAGATAACAGGGCACAACTGGTACAGGTTTCTGCCTTTTATATGACATTGAGTATCAAGGTCTATGTTACTGAATTTTTGCTGTCCTTTGCTCTTACCATTTGCATGTATCTGCTTACACTTGTTTATCTTTACACATATGACTCTGTTCTTTATTTCCTTAAAGATTAGGGTTAGTTAATTAGTTGAATGTCTTTTATGTAGAGAAATCAAATATTGGGAGCTTGGCATATTTGTCATCTTGGTAAAAACATCCCAGTCAATTCGGAACTTCCTGAATTGTTGTGGTGTCATCTCGAGATTGAGATGGGGAGGCTTGGCTGCTAGTGCCTGAATGCGGGTTGTCTGAGTGGTGGCTTCCTTAGCCTGCTTGATGATACACAGGGCTTCTCCCATTAATGCGACTCCGAGCTCCCTAAGCATGGATCGATCCAGCATATGAAGGTTCTCGATTGTCAGTTTCTCGCCTGCAAACCTTGTTGCATGAGTTTTGGCGAGTCAGTGGATAGGCCTGCTTCAATGAAGAAGAGTTCCCAATCTTGGGTGTCATATATCCTGTTCGCAGCGCCATGTAGAGAAATCACGTGGTAGAGATAAACACTTAGTTGTGAAGCAAGCTAAGTGAACAATAATCCAACTTTTAGAAAGAGAGCTATTTATGTTGCCATAGAGCATCTCATTGTGCTAAAGTGGGATAGTCCATTGCTTGGGCTGTGATTGGCTGCTGGTACCTGAGTGGAAGTATTTCTATATAAATACCAGCTTGATTCAGCTGTTAGTTTGCAGGGTTTGTATTAAGTTACAACCTGCTTTATTTTTGTCTGCCAGCTGGATGCTAGCTGGGACCTTTACACCGGTAAGTGCTGTTTATTATTGTTATTCTACATTTTAAAGAAATAATTACAAAAATTGAAGATATTCGAAAATCGGTTTGTTTTTAAAACAAATTTTTATCAAATAACCAATTTGAAATACACTGTACTTTTTGTTTACCCAAGTACTTTTGATCCCCTCTGAGATGAGACATCCTCAGCGGTGTATTGTGAAGACAAACTTAATGTAACTGTAATCATTGTGATAGTTATTTTGCAAACATGTATTAATGTGCTCTGCTATAATAATTTAAAAATTAACTGTTCTTTGTAGTTACGATAATAATAAACAGAAACTTCAAATTCTTGAGGCCCTTTATATCAAAAGCAACCAAGGAACACTGAACAAAATTTATGAGCATGGTAGCAATATTTTAAAATGTATTTGAGTTGACTAACATTAACATCATTTTGAAATTTACCATTTTGTAATTTTACCATCTCTGGTTATTACCCTTGGACTGGGAATGCTTGTTTACGAAACATTGTAACCACAATAATTAATTTTAAAATAATTATAGCAGAGCACATTAATACATGTTTGCAAAATCACTATCACAATGATCAGGGTTACATTAAGGTTGTCTTTGAAATTCACTCCTGAGTATGATCTCTGAGTATTTGGGTTAACAAAAAATATGATGCCTCTCTTGATGAATTTCATCTTTGCATCAAGATGATAATTAGAGAACTAGAAAGGAGTATTATGAAAATAGACATAATATGCCTATATTATTTAATGAAATATGCTGTATGAAGATATGCTACCTAAATATATATATATATATATATGTACGCGCACACACATTTGATGTGATAATTAGAAATCTGACTTATTTAGTTTTTACTTTCTGTATTGAGAAAAAAACACAAACAAATGAAAAAAAAGGCACCTTATCAAAGATTGTGACTTGATTTGGTGTTTCAGTTTCTATTCCCTGGTTATGGCTGCTGTCAATTGGCTGAAGAATAGAATCATAAGATATTTTTCTTCTCCACTGAAAAATAACCTGTCTTCTGGGTAATATGACAACAATTCAATTAAAGCTTAACTAACCTATTGCATGAAGTAATAGTATTCAAACTTCTCCCATGAACATTATTATTAATCTTTGACTTTTATTACTTTCACTTTCACTTTATATTGTAAATCACAGATTATGATTCTATAATCATTAAGTAAGCAGCCTCAATTGGAAATAAAGAATAAAACTCTGAAGATTTATAACAAGAAATTTGAATACTATTACATAGTTGTATATTTGTGTTTGGAGAAGTAAATAATATAGCTTGAGTCTTCTCCAGACATGATAAGCAGTCGTAATAAGGCTCCTTATGTCTATTGAGATTCAACCTTCACTCTATAAGAAGAAATTGTACTAAAGTTGCTGCAAAAAATGGTCAGTTCCTTGTACTACTCCAGGAACAACACTGCACCTTCTGCCATTCTCTTTACAAGAGTCCGATAAGACCAAAATAAGATACTGTTGCCATATCTGGGTTGGAGCTGTCCAACTCGCACTTTACAGAGTTCAAAAGCATTTATGCCGCCTTGTCAGTGATGAATTATTTTCCAGTAGACAACTCCATTTCCCACAGATGAAACATTGTTAGCCTTTCATGACTCAATCACAATTTTCATGGCAGATGTTCAGAGTTAGGACCCACCGTGTGGCATGCACACATGACCCATTGTCATTCTCATTGTATTCCATTGGTAAGGAGGAAGTTCAACTTGGGCAGCTTCTTTCCCAGAACTGTTACTTTATACTTTCTTCTCTAAAGGATACTTTCTTGATTACTATAATCATAACCTACTAAAGGCATCTTGTGTATTTTAATCTTGTGTAAATTACAAAATGGCTAAAAAGAAACTATTCTTCAATGATGTAAGTTGAAAGAAATTACAAACAAATAGAAAAGGAAGTTTTGGCAATTATCTAAAATATTCTATAAAGTAATACATAGCAAAAACATACACCTTTCAATCAAACCATAAAACTCTACTCACTATTTTGGGTTTAAAAAAATATATATTTTAGTTCATGCTGTAATATTGGGTCATAATATTTAGGTATGATTTCAAATTAAAGTACATAACCTATGCAAAAATGGAAGGCAACAAAAGTCATTTTAGACTAATTTTAAAATTTTACATTATCCACATGTTTATTTCTGTAACAAAATGAAAAAAAGGTGGCGAGATATGCATAAAAAAAGGTCAAAGCATGAAGGCTCTCTGGCTGGCTTGTGAAATGTGCAAATGGCATGGAAAAGTAACCTGCATAAGATAAGTTTATGAAATATGTTCTAGAATAATGGATACAAAATCAAATACAATCATAAAATTGATCATGGGGTTTAGTGTTCAGTTTGAAAATAGTTCATTGCAACTTCCTCCTAGCAATAAAATAAATTTTCATGTTTGTTGCTTAAAAGATTAAGTGTTGCCATAGAATGACATGCTCAAAAGGATGAAAGGTGTGAGTTCAAGTTTCACCAAAGGTTTACCCTTTATTTTCAATCTGCACTGCACTTAATGATTTTAAAATGAGGATCTGAGAACTGAAATAAAAATGAAAGAAATATTAGTTAAAAAAAAAAAAAAAATTATTGCATGAAACTTCAAAAAACTTTTCTTTTAGAAAAACAAGTTTCATTTAAAATTTTTCAAGAGCCTAACCATATTTTCTTAAAGATTTTACTTAACTTTTGTACTAGTTAATCTATATATATAAAATTCTGTGATTTCTATTAGATCATCTGTCCTCACACTCTCTAAAATACCCATACATTGACCGATCAAAAACAAATTTTGGGTAGAAGTGTAAACAGGTAAGTGGGTACAAAGTATGGTTGGTTTTACTACGGGGCATAACACAGTACAATAAGTTTTATTTTATTTTTTGAAAAATTGGAAGTTTTATTATTTAATATACAAAATACTCCTACTATTTTAAAAACACTTTAATTATTAAAATAAACACTTATTTAATAAAAATGAAATATTGTTTTTTTGCATATCTTTAATTTTTTTATATTTCATCAATAGGTTTGCAAAATTGAATGAAATGTAGAGTTTGTAAATCTCAGCAAAAACTGTTAGTATTAATGACAACAATACTAAATACTATGAGGATTCCAACACGTTGCAAAAAATTTCTGGTGAATGAAACTTACTGTGGTGGATGATAGAATGCATCATGTCATTCTATAAATATTGTCTGCTCAGTTACAGCTAACCCAGACTTTGTGGAACTGAAGAGAGATGAGATATCCCTATACATGGATGGCAGAACACTCTGCTCTTGTAAATTAAATAAAGGGTTCATTTCAAAATTTTCTGAAGGTTACCAGGATCAAGACACCTGAAGAAGGTTGGAGGATACAATGACTGAAATGTTATAACAACACCAAAGTCAAGGATGTTAGTCTGAATGTAAATATTTTTTTTTTTTTTTTTTTAGTACTCTCAGTACCACCAGTGGGTACTGAGAGTGAAAGTGAATGAGAAGACTTTAGTGAGGAAAAAGAACAAGGATCAGGAGGACAGAAGATGGTGATAATGCCACTAAAACGCAAGGGGTTACTGGGATGAAAAGAGAATGAGAATACTTTAGTGAGGTGAAAAGACAATAAAAGAACAGGTTTCAGGATGATAGAAGATTGCAATTGATATTGCATTTAAATTTTTAAAGATCATGGGTGGCAAGGAAGTAAGAAACCGGCAGAAAGTTCTATAGGTGAGAAGTGCAAGAAAAGAAACTGTTAGAATAGAACTTAGTTACATCTAGCTATTTCAACAGTAAAACAATGAGACCTAATTGCCAATCTAGCATAGTATGTTTAAATTCATGTGGTCAAGGTATCAAAGAGAAAAGCTTCTTAGAATAATTGCCATGAAAATATTCAAAGAAAAGACACAGGGAAGCTACATCATGATGGTGGGAAAGTGACTGAAGTTGAGATGCCAATAGTATTACAGATCCTTTAGATTTTGTTGAGAATCTTGAGATATAATACAAAAGCTTCAGACCGGATATGGCAGCAATATTCAACCTATGGACAAATGGTAGATTTACAAAAACGGATTCTGGCAAGAAAGATTGTCTGGTATGTCACAGTGAACCGACTTTCCTTGCATCAGAACTAGCAATTGATTCCATATAATCCTTCTGCTTCATACTTCATGTCTAGAAAATGTGAGACCAAGAAGGTACAATGAGTTGCTCTCTTGGGGGTTAGCATCAGCTATGCTGATGGAAATAATTCTACAGTTTGAGTTTAAACTTTTTATTACTTGTTTGTGTGTAAGCAAAACATTTTTCTCTCTTCATTTCTTTCTCTCTTCATTTCTTTCTCTCTTCATTTCTTTCTCTCTTCATTTCTTTCTCTCTTCATTTCTTTCTCTCTTCATTTCTTTCTCTCTTCATTTCTTTCTCTCTTCATTTCTTTCTCTCTTCATTTCTTTCTCTCTTCATTTCTTTCTCTCTTCATTTCTTTCTCTCTTCATTTCTTTTCTCTTCATTTCTTTTTTCTCTTCATTTCTTTCTCTCTTCATTTCTTTCTCTCTTCATTTCTTTCTTCTTCATTTCTTTTCTCTTCATTTCTTTTCTCTTCATTTCTTTCTCTCTTCATTTCTTTTCTCTTCATTTCTTTTCTTTCATTTTCTTTCTCTCTTCATTTCTTTCTCTCTTCATTTCTTTCTCTCTTCATTTCTTTCTCTCTTCATTTCTTTCTCTCTTCATTTCTTTTCTCTCTTCATTTCTTTCTCTCTTCATTTCTTTCTCTCTTCATTTCTTTCTCTCTTCATTTCTTTCTCTCTTCATTTCTTTCTCTCTTCATTTCTTTCTCTCTTCATTTCTTTCTCTCTTCATTTCTTTCTCTCTTCATTTCTTTCTCTCTTCATTTCTTTCTCTCTTCATTTCTTTCTCTCTTCATTTCTTTCTCTCTTCATTTCTTTTCTTCATTTCTTTCTCTCTTCATTTCTTTCTCTCTTCATTTCTTTCTCTCTTCATTTTTTCTCTCTTCATTTCTTTTTCTCTTCATTTCTTTCTCTCTTCATTTCTTTTTCTTCATTTCTTTTCTCTTCATTTTTTCTCTTCATTTCTTTCTCTCTTCATTTCTTTCTCTCTTCATTTCTTTCTCTCTTCATTTCTTTCTCTCTTCATTTCTTTCTCTCTTCATTTCTTTCTCTCTTCATTTCTTTCTCTCTTCATTTCTTTCTCTCTTCATTTATTGTAGTTGAAATTTTCCTCTTGCTCCCTCCCCCACATTTTTTTTTATTTGAATTAATAGCAATAATGAATACTGTTTTATTCTTAGAGGAGTAATATAAAAAAATTGAATGAAAAACTTGTTTGCATGTATAATTCATTTCTTGTTTGGATTGTGACACCACCAAATTGGGGTGGGGACAGCAATAGGTGACATAGAATGCTTTTTGGATATATTGTCTATAACTTCAAGAAAAGGTATTAACATTAACAAGCATTGTTCAGACACTGAAAGTTCTTTGTATACTTGCTGCTGTTAATAAATTTCAACATCCCTTCATCAGTTTTAGGAATTTGTAATAAATGAGAAATAAAGGAATCAATACAAAGAGGCTAGTGTCTGAACAATGTTGGATGTGTGTTATAATATATAATAAATTTGTATGCTTATTTTGTAACTCCTTTTACTACAAATTTCAAGGAATTACATTCACTTTTCAGGAGATTAGGTGGTAAGTTTGATTTATTTTTAAGGAAAATACTTTTTTTTTTTTAATTGGAGTCACCCCAAGCAAGGCAGTAATGCCACTAAAACACAAGGGGTTACAAGGTGTGGAAGAATTAGGAGTAGAAACATTTAATGATGAGCAGAAAGAGAAGATAGTCATCAGGTGGACAATAGATATCGAATGACATTGCATTTAAATTTTTGCAGATTAAAGTTGTCTGGAAAGCATGGAGCCAGAAGGTAGTTCCACAAGTGAGAAGTGTGAGAGAATAAACTGTTAGCATAGAACTTATGGCTACATCTAGCCAGCTTACCAGTAAATTGCTGAGATCTTGATGCTGGTCTAGTGCGGCACTTAAATTCAAAAACTCTAGGTACCATAGTGAAAATTTTTTCTGGACAGTTACCATATAGAAAAGGCATACTTATGATGGCAGGAAAGTGACTGAAGCTGAGCTGCCAGATCATGACCCATAATATTGAAGATTCTTCTTTGGATCTTATCAAGGTGCTCAAGGTAAATAGCATTAGCACCAGACCATATATGGCAGAAATATTCTAAGCATGGATGAATGGTAGACTTATAGATATGTAAGATAGATTGTGGAGAGAAAAATTGTCTCTTTCTTAGCTGATCTAGTAATGGATTTAATATAGTCTTTCCACTTCATATTAACAAAGAATGTGATCTCAAGTGCAATGAGGCACTTTCCTGGAGGATTGCATCAGCCATGCTGATGGAAGGCAGCAACTAATTTTAATTTAATTTTTAAGCTAAATTCACTATCAAGTCTCCTGAAGAGTGGATGTAATTCTGCGAACCTCCCAGTAGTAATAAGGAAAGAAATTTATTTATTGTTAATATCTCCACTCCATTAATACAATATTAATATTTTTAATATCTCTATCTCTTGATATCGAGCACTATAATTACAAAGTTTGGTGGTTTTGTTTAGCAGCCTATGAACCTCTATGCCAAAATCTAAATATTTTGAATGCAGTTGCATGCCTCTACTACAGGTAAAATGTATTGTTGGTCATTTTGCTATAAAAATTTATTTGTCCCTCAAAACCTCCAACCTCCTGATCAGAGGTCCTGCTGGATATAGTTTAGGACTAACGATCACAAAGTCTGTTGGCTTTGAAAACATAATCTTCTAGAAATATCCTGGTCATCCATTTCTTGCTAAGACACAATCTTTGTTCTATGTAATGTAATAAATGTAATACTGCTCTCATAAAGTTCTAATAAACAGTATTCAGAAAAAGTTTAAACAAAAATGCTTTACACTTTGCTTCCTAAGTTATTTTGCTAATTAAACTGGCTCCTGTTTCTACTATTAGTTCTTAACAAGTTGAATTGCTAAAATCTTATATATATATAATATAAAACAGAGGATGTCTGCCTGATACCTTTTCACTTCAGATCCATCCAACTGATTTTGACCAAACTTGGCATATACATTGTACAATGTAAGAGATAGGTTCTTAGTGTAAAAAAATCGATAATTTTAAAAAAATCAATAATTGATAAAGCCAATGAAAAAACATTAAATTCACCTTTTTTCCTCCAATTTCATTCAAACTCAGTATGTAGGTTACTTATATCATGATGAGCTCAGCAATACCTCATTTTTCTTTCTACACCACTGTGTTTAGTGAAAAACAAAAAATCAATTTCAACACAAATTTTAAACTAAAAACTCTCTGTATTTTCAAGCAATCTAATACAGACTTCACTCAATTGTAACCAACAATAAGTTGATTGTTTAACAGTCATTTTACTTGATAATTGAGTCCACCTATATAGTGAAAACCCATGTAAATAGCAAAAAATTTTTATGGGTTTCTTTCTTATTATTTGTTGATCTTTTAAACCAATTACATCAAACTTAACAATTGCTTTATAAATGTATCCTCTTTTACATCCCTGGTAGCACACTGACAATTGAAGTTCAAAAACTTCAAAATAATTGTGGTCTGAAGGTTGCTTTTTTACCACTTTATGTCCTCGGCTAACTTTGATTGAATAAATACAGACTACTTGTTATACCAGAAACTGCATTAATTCAAAATGTTTTTTTTAATGTAAGTACTTTAAAGTAATTGAAGAAGATAGACTCTATTACATGTAAACATGATGCTGTTTTTGCTCAATTCTAATTGAACGCTTTTTTCTGATCAACCAGCTGAGTATGGCTGCTGGTATCCAATAAGTCAGATTGAAGTGTAGTTAACATGTAGAAAAATTTTTTTTTTTTTTCTTTCTATTAGTTTGTCTTTCTTCATATATTAGTTTCCGTATCAATCGATTTAAGTCAGAGTTAATCCTTTTGACTTGAACATATTGTCAATACGGTTGCGAATGTTAGGACAGTCTGAATTATATTTGAAATGTCAATGATTCAAATTACCATAAAAGAAAAAAATATTGACAGAATTTGATGGCTGGAATCTTAATTCATGGTTTTAATTCCTATTTATTTCATGCTTTCTCATTAAGGATGTTGATATTTAAATTACACCTACATATGTGCATGAAGAGAGGATACTGAAAAATTTAAATTAAATTGTTTTTTTTTTTTTCAATTTTTTTTTTTTTGCTTTTTTAAACATGTTTTGATTATATAGTCTGTGTGATTTCATTTAGTTAATTTTCCTTTTTGTTCATGTTTCCATCATTTTTTTGTTTATATTTTTTTTTTCTTTAAAAATCAGAACTTGATATAAAAAAAATAAAATTATGCATTGTTTTCCCATATATATCAGTGGCACTAAACTCCATATTGAACAAGACATTTTTTCATTAGAATTTTGTGTCTAGAAATGTTTCCTGTTGTTAAATAGCTCAAATGTATATTTACTACCCAGCACAGGTATTGAACTGATAGGCTTCAGCTAATGTGCAAACTTGTATTTTATTAAGTGGACCTGTTCCACCTGCAGTTGAAATGGGTTTTGCCCATTGAATTCTATATAAACTTATGTTTTTTTTTCACTGGCAGGAGATATAAAATCTATTTGACTGGTGAAGTTATACCTGATTAGATCAACATTTCTGGCCAGAGAAACAAGGAATCCTTGTTCGACTTTGAAGTACCAGTCATGTCTATGAAGACTTCTTTTGAGTCCTTATTTTTTTTTTACTCCTACTCACTCTCTCTCTCGCTCTGACTCTCTACTTTACTCTCTCTGACTCTCTACTTTACTCTCTCTGACTCTCTACTTTACTCTCTCTGACTCTCTACTTTACTCTCTCTGACTCTCTACTTTACTCTCTCTCTCTACTTTACTCTCTCTCTCTACTTTACTCTCTCTCTCTACTTCTGACTCTCTGATTCACTCACACACACTGTTTGATATGACGGAATAGAATCTATGTAAGTTTAAATAGTAAATGAACAATCTGAAAAACAAAAAATCAAAAAAAATATCAAACTAAAATCAATTTTTCTCTTATTTAAAATCTTTTTCATTTCTCTTATTGATTTAAAAAGCATTCAACTTGTTTTTCATGTATTCCATATTAAATGGCTTTTTCTTTTGTTTTCAGACCAGAGGTTGTAGCGCCTCCTTCTGAAGTGAGTGTGTATGATATCAAAGACCATCCTTATTATAAATTCCGGCCAGGGCATGCTGTGATTCGAGTTGGTGGTGCTGATGTAAGTTATTGCTTTGAAATAGAAAAAGGGAATGCAAGCAAAGAGTTTTTATTATGTTATCTACTGGGTGAGAACAAAAGTTAGTAGCATTTTTCACCATCTTTGAAGCAGCTTCCTGAATCTGTCCTTCTAGAACTAGGACATTTTTCTGGGAGACAGACTTGTCTAAGTAGTTTTTACAGGCCACCAATTCCATTCACCCCCAACGCTTGCTGTCACCAAATCTCAATCTACAATTCTATTTTACCTGAAGCTGTTGGGACGAGAAAAATATATTCCTACCTTTTCTAAGGGCATTGATGTGAATCGTAACAGACTCGGCTAAAACTTAAACTCTGCATCAATAACAGTTGATCTACCTGTATTTCCTTTGTATAATTTTTGGAGTCAAAACAAAAGTTCTTGGTGATTTTTAAGTTCTTCCCATTAAGAGATTTTTATATGATTTGAAATAACTGGTAATCCATAGGTGAAAGGTCAGGTGTGTGTGTGTGTAGTTTGACATCCTAGCTAAGTTGTATGAATTTCAATAAGATTTGAAGTATCACATTGTCCTGTTGGAAGATCATTGATTACTCCCATTTTAACTGGTACAATTGGGAACTACTTGTCTGAATTCAATGTCTGATTTTCCAGAAGGAGGTTTTATTCTCAATGCCCTTCCTATCTTGCCAAATACATAGTGATTAATCTTTCTCTCAATCAAAGCAAAAACAAAAAAAAAAAAGAAAAATTGGTTTAGAACCGTTTTAGCCAAAAACTACAAATTTTCTTACAAATAGTAAGTATACTAAATAAAGGATTCAGCACTAAAATGATCCATAGATGTTGATCTACCATTTAAATAAGAAAAACCAAACTTCTTTAGATGCAGACTGGCTTTTGGAATTATTCACAGTGGCTCATTTAATTTTTCCCAGAACATTGTTCGTTTCATATTGTTGTAAACAATCCATTTTTCATCACCTTTCATCATTCTTTTGAAAAATGGTTTGTTTTTGTTGTGCTTGAGCAGATAAATGCAGATGGAAATGCACTTGATTAATTTTTTTTTTTTTTTTTTTAAATTTATTAAGCACCCAAACATTGTAGTGAGTCATATATCTAAGCGTTTTTTTCAAATGCCTTACAATGCTCGTCTAAGAAACGTGGATTATCTATGCAATTTCATGTTTTGCATGATCTGAATTATTTTTAATCGGCATTTTGATTTAAACATCATCATCAATGACTGCATGTCTGCTAGATTGTTCTTGGTCTTCCAGATCAAAATTTCCACTTCTGAACCTAAGGAACCATTTCTCTCTAAACTTTTGTCTTGCTGCTTCCTGCTTTCTAGCTTGTTGGAAGTCTTCCTCTTTAGTTCCTGATTTTAAGAACTCTGGAGAACCATCTACCCCCCTAACTATTGCCTTATTAGTTTCCTACTGTTTTTTTGGCAAAGTATTTGAGGCTTTAATCAATGCTGAAGTGGTTAAGCATTTCGCCTCTCATGATCTACTCTCCAACAAACGTTATGGATTGGAAATTTCTTGGTCATTGCGTTCATCAAATTGAGATTTATTCTTGTCACTATGCCTTCAAAGGATAAATCTGGTGTGTCAAAGATTGATAAGCAAACTGAAAAAGGTGAAATGTTTTGAGTTGTTGAAATATTAGAATAATGTACTTGTCCCTTCCTTTTGTTAGTTTACGCAACCATTACGCCTTGCCAATATATCATAAATAATAGACTATTTCATTTTGATTGCATGGAAAGAGGGGGAAATACAATACTGATCGCAGCATGCAGGACTACTTGTGAAAATGCCTGAAAACCATAATACAGTTTAACCCAAGATTTGTAGTGAAATTAGGTAAAATGAAACTGTTCAGACGTCTTCTTTTAGTTGTCAGATGTCGGTTTAGCTGGAAATAAACGATGCAGTTATTAATGAGAAGATTTGAAATGAATGCATGTAAGATTTCACAGCTCTAGCGTCATTCTTACATAGTCAGCTTGTGGACTTTTTTAGCCCACATTATTAATTTTCTTTAAGATTTATTGAAAAAGTATTTGAAAAGCTTTTCAATCGACACTGTTTTTGGACCAAGTAAAGCACAAATATGTCATACAATTCTCAATGAAGTTCTCAGAGGAAACAATACGAATGCAGTAGCAAAATATGTGGAGAAGCACATGTGGTGTTGAAAGAACATGTAGGGTGGTTTTCCTGTTTTAGAATGTGGGAGTTTACAGCCTAAAGCAGCATTTCTCAATCTTTTTACCATTGTGGAAACCTTCACTTCTTGATGAACAGCTGCATAAAGATGATTATATATATCTCTTATATTTAATTATAATAACCAAGACTGTAGTCAGTTTCTTTATGATAGGGATAAAGTATCATAATCCATTTCTTTCTCCTTAAACAGCATAGAGTAAATCAAAAACTCTCCAACACACGTGTCTCCTGTTCACTATCACAGTTGCACTGCTCTATTGCTTCTCAAGCACTTTTTGTAGCTGGAGTGACAAGTCAAGTTTTCATAGGTACAAAAAAGAGCCTTGTGAAATTATCTGAGATCTATTGTTTCTTAAATATACAACTCATAAAGCTGCCATTTTCATTTTGGGATACTTTACAAGCGAGACATGTCTGAATCTGTTTTCTACCAGGAGGTAAGCCATTTTCACTTGTGTTACAAAGACTTTCCCAACAATATGCTGTACGCGTCTAGTAAAATTATGAATGCAAAATTAAACAAAAATTACTCATGAATGCATTAGCCTATTTATCACTGTTTCTCATGAGAGCCCTAGTGACCTTTTATGAACCCTAGGGTTCTGGGAAAAACCATTTGTAAAACACTGGGTTAGAAAATATACCCAAAACACGTTTTTTTTTTTTTTTTTTTTAAAAAAACGAAAAAAAAACGTGTGATGCATTTCACCCTTTAGGACTTGATTGGACTAAAGTGAGGTTTATATTGATGTGATTACATATGCACATGAAGGAGAAGGGGCTGCTAATATATGAAATTCAATTTTTTTTTTTTTTTTTTAATGTGTGTTTGGATAAACAGAATAATAAAAGATATAAAAACAAAGAAAAAGAAACTAAATGAAATCAGCTAGACCAGCATATCTCAACCATGTGCCACCCTTGAAATAGTTTTTATGTCTCAAGGAAACCCTGCTTAAAAATTATTATATACAATTATTAATATCTATTTCTTTTATATTTTTATCATAGTTCACATGGTAAATATATGGCCATTCGTCCTGCACTCGAGTGAGTCACTGAATGATACATGAATCTGTCATGTACAGGTCCCTGTCCACTCACCACTGAAGGCAGTTTCACATTGACACCATACAGACATTGCTAAATACATTATCTAGGATTGTTATAGTTTTATTAAATAATATAAGTGGTTTAAGTCTTAGTCTTTATTATAATAACCAAGTATTTTCTAGCAATATGCCATACATATATAGTAAAATGATGAATATAAAATTAAATAAAACTTGCTCAAAAATGCATGCATTACAGTTTCTTATAAAACTACTAGCAACCTCTTGTGAAATCCTAGGCTTCTGGAAGAAAAGCAGTTGTGAAAATCATCTATAGGGCTTGAAAAGGCTTAACCTTTTCAGGGATTTCAAAGCTGCATGTGCAACAAAGGAATGTAATTTTGATGAAGATTTTGAGAAATGAAATATTTGAAGTTTGTTTTTGATTTTTTTTTTTTTTTTTTTTTTGTAAATGTGCTTAAACTTTTAGTAACCAACATTTTATGTTGTTCTTGTTTTTGAAGTTGATTGCTGGAACCTTTTCTTTTGAACGCTGGAACCTTTTCTGTTGAATGCAAACTAAACAAGCTTTTTAGATGAATCTCACTCGGGCAAATCTGTTGCTTTATTTCAGGAGAATAGTTCTGAGCCAGTCGAAGCTGCTGGTCAAGTGTATCAGCTTGACCCTCAGGGTTTCATCATGGTCAAGTGGCCAAGCAGTAGAGTGACCTGCTGTTATCCGCAAGAACTCTTTGTTGTAGGAGATGAGGTAAGACATTATTTTTACTTTGACAAACAACTCTGTATCTGTCTATATTTCTGAGATGAGGTATTATGTACATTATTTACATTATTCGGACTATTGTCCTCATCTTTGTTGCCATATTTATCACAACGTTCCGGCCCTTCAGTATCTGTCTATATTTCTGAGATGAAGTATTATGTACATTATTTACATTATTCGGACTATTGTCCTCATCTTTGTTGCCATATTTATCACAACGTTCCGGCCCTTCAGTATCTGTCTATATTTCTGAGATGAGGTATTATGTACATTATTTACATTATTCGGACTATTGTCCTCATCTTTGTCGCCATATTTATCACAACGTTCCGGCCCTTCAGTATCTGTCTATATTTCTGAGATGAGGTATTATGTACATTATTTACATTATTCGGACTATTGTCCTAATCTTTGTCGCCATATTTATCACAACGTTGCCCTTCAGTATCTGTCTATATTTCTGAGATGACGTACATTATTTACATTATTCGGACTATTGTGTGCATATTTATTACAACTCCGTTATGCAGTATCTTTCTTGGTGGTTGGAATGTCAAACTGAACCCCCTTATTTCACTCACTGGGGTAGACTGTTCTAGTTCCACGTGCCATGTTTAATGGATGTCAGTTATCAGTTATTTCATGTTAATTTCCTTCTGAAATTTCTCCACTGCCTTAACCGGGTATTGAACTCACACTGTGTCATGTGTCCTTGAGGACACATGGCACAGTGGATAAAGGCGTTGGTTAGATACAGTGACAGAACCCAAAGAGTGTGAGTTCAATACCCGGTTAAGGCAGTGGAAAACTTGGAGAGGGAAATTAACAGCAGATAACTGATAACTGACATCCTTTAAACATGACACGTGGAACTAGAATGGTCTACACCAGTGAGCGAAATAAAGGGTTCAGTTCGACATTCCAACCATCTGAAGAAGGTCGGAGCGTACAATGGCCGAAATGTTATAATAAATATGGTGACAAAGATGAGGACAATAGTCCAAATAATGTAAATAACTGACAACTGTTTTTGTGAACACACATTTCTGCACCTTTTTGTGAGCCTGTGTCTGTTTCTGAAAGAAAACAATATTGCAATTTGAATAGACTTTGAAAGTTCAAATTTTTATCAATAGAATTGTATAATTTTTAGATAATTTTGCTTGTGCTTACTTTCTAATTATTTTTCAAAAAGAAATATTTGAGCAAAATAGTTTGAAAGATTAAAGGAAAATTTCATCAATCTTTAACTTTCGCAGCCACAAAAAAAAAAAAAAAAACTGTCAAAAGGACAGTTTTTTCCCTTGGCACTGTTATTATCTTAACTACCTTTACTCCTAGGAAATGTTTGTTTTTAAAAAAGTAATGATTAGAATTTTAATAAAACCTAAACATGATGAAAGTGAATTTTTTTTTGTTTTTGAGAAAAATATTAATAACTATTTATTTATCAGATGGTTTATTTGCAAGATTAATTTTATATTTAGAACATATTAAAAATTAATACCATTAAAATTAATGCAATATTTATCATTTGCCAATTTAAGAAATATGAAAAGAATATTCATAAATTGATAAACATTTATTAAATATGCAAACTGACTATAAGGAAAGTCTTTGTTATTTACCATTTTATAAAGCTTTAATCAATTGGTAATTATATATTTTGCTAAACCATTCTAATAAGCAATGTAATAGTGTTTATTATTTTTGTTGTCAATTCTCAAGAACAAAGAAAATGTATAAATTCACTTTCATATGTTTAGGTTTTATAAAAATTCTAATTGCTTTTAAAACAATAAATATTAATGAGTCATGAAGGTAGTTAAAATAATAGTGGTGCCAAGGGAAAATTGTCCTTTTCATTCATGGTTTTTTGTTATTTTTGTGAGCACAAAAGTTGAAGATTGCTAAAATTTTATACCAAAATCTAACTATTTACAAGTAGACTATTATCCTCATCTTTGTTCTTATCATGTCAATGTTTATTATCCCTGAATCCAAGAGTTGAATTCACAATTACTATGTAACCAAATTCACAAACATTTAACCATTAGGCTTTTGTCTTGTGGGACAATCCTCAGTGTATAACTTGGAGCTTTAACTGCTCCTGCTTGTCACACTTTACTGCATTCACCAAAACTTCTCTTTTCTACTGCTGCTGTTGAAGATTTGCTGTCATTTCTCTTTCTTACTTTATGGACAGCTTCCATAGAGGCAGAGTAGTGCAGACTTAAACTCTGTGGAAAACAGGGTGAGCAGTAACTGAGAAGTATTAAGAACTAGATGAGATGTCTTTGGACATGATCAATCTATCCTCTATAGATTAAATAAAGGATACAGTTTGAAATTCCTGAAGCACCTGATGAAGTCCAGAGGGTGCCATAGCCAAAAGGAGGACATTAGTTAACATGTAAATAATAACTCCTCATTCAAAACATTCAAACACAAAATAAAACTTTTTTTTTTTTTTTTTTTTTTTTTTTTAAAAAGAAAAAAAGTGATTGGGGTGTAGTGGAAATTTTTGTGAAACTCATATTAGTACAAATTAAAATTGATATAACAATTAATTTTACACTTTTGCTGGCATCAGTAGTTAGCATCTATTCTCATTTTACAAAGATGAAAGCACCTGGTCTTGGAGATGCGAATCTTGTGGCAGCACCTCTCTCATTGTACTAAAAGAGGGTGGGTTGGTGTAATAGCGACATCAGCATGACAGTGTTTATGGAAACTGGGCAATTTTTTGGATTGTCCAAATGGGGTATCGCATCAAAAACACTGTTACATTTTGCCACCATGAAGTAGAACTACATCTGGCAACATGGCCTCTGATTGGTAGGTTTTGAGGAGCGTGGAACCACTTATTTGGTGTTACTTCCAGTTAGGGTCCCATCTATGTGCAAATAGTTAACCTCCAAACTGGTGCCAAAACACTATGAAAGTATAAAAATACATTTTTATAGTAAAAAAAATTACCAGTAATACATTTTTGTGAAAGAAATTACTAAAACTCTCAAGAAAATTAAGTTTCTACATTAAATAACCCATAAAACGTTGATATGCCACTAAACAAACAAACCATGGAGAAGTGAGTAAATAACTTCCAATGGTTTTAAGATTTGCGTCAACATGTGGTTATCTCCTTTAGAATCCTGTATATTTTATTATATAAATATTTTGCTTGCATTTTTCCAGATGAGTGACTTAAGCTCTGAAGGATCTTCATCTGAAGAGGAGGAGGAAGAGGAAGAGGAGGAAGAAGAGGGTAACAGTGATTGCAGCTGGGAGACTGAAAACGAAGAAGAAATTGATCCAGATACACTGGAGCCTAAATCACCTCTGCCTAAAACTCTCCTTGAACAAAGGTATGGAAAACTTGAATACCTCCTCACCCACTTTTATATCTTCCTGGTTTTCATTTATTTTGAATTTACTGTTAAACATTTTATGCATTAACACAATTTTTATTAATTTCTATTCTGAAGTTCATATTTTATATAGTAATGAATGGTATCAAATGACAATTGGAAAAATCTTACATTTTGCTGACGCATTTCGTCTTCCGACTTTTTCAAGGCAAAAATGAAATCGAAATGTTTTTGTTGTTACATTAAAAATCCAAATTTAAAAAGATAGACGCTTCTGTCTAAGCCTTTTTTTCTGGTTAATGTAAATTACTTTTATAGTAAGGGATTATTATTAGTTTTATTATTTTTTTTCCCATGTCGACAATATAGTTAAATTCCCAGATGAATTCTGTGGACAAGACAGATTGGTATAAAATGACAAAAAAAAAAAAATAATAATCCCTTACTATAAAAGTAATTTACATTAACCAGGAAAAAATGGCTTAGACAGAAGCATCTATCTTTTTAAATTTGGATTTTTTAATGTAACTATAACAATAATAACATTTCGATTTCATTTTTGCCTTGGAAAATTCGGAAGACGAAACGTGTCGGCAAAATGTAAGATTTTTTCCAATTGTCATTTGATACCAATCGGTCTTGTCCACAGAATTCATCTGGGAATTTAACTATAGTATTGAATCCATTGCTAGGTCAGCTGCCAGGAAGGTTGATTTACTGTGTTGTGCTAAACAATTTTTCTCTCCAGAGTCTATCTATAAGTTTACTATTTGTCCATGCTTAGAATATTGCTGCCATATATGGTCTGGTGACCCTGCTATTTATCTTGAGCTCTTTAACATCCAAAGAAGAATCGGCAATATTATTGGTCCTGATCTGGAAGCTTGGCTTCAGTTATTTTCCCATTGCCATAAGGTTGTCTTCCTATACCTTTTCTATAAATACTTTCATGGTAATTGTTCAGATGAGTTCTCTGCTATGGCATTTGTTTAATTTTTTTTTTTTTTTCTTAAAATTGTTTTTTTATTCCCCTCCCCAACAGACAATGAATTGTACATACGGGCACTAGTTAGGATTTTTGTAGAGACATTGTGGTATTATGGTGGATGTAGTAAGAAAGGTAAGTAGAAAGGTGCAAGGAATATTGTATGTTTGGATCATTGTTTATGGCTAGCAAAGCTTAATGTTAAGACAGAAGAAGACCGTTCTTTTCCCCACTTTGGCCTTGTGCCACATTTTTTGTAAATAAACTGAAATAAATATTGCTCTTCACTATAGTGCATAGACTCTTTGAATTTAAGCACAGTACTAGCCTGGTGGCGAGGTGTCATCAATTTACAGTTGAGCTGGCTCAACCATATGTATGTAACCATAAATTCTATGCTAACAATTTCTTTCCTATCATTTCTCATGTGTGGAACTCCCTTCTGGCTCCATACTTTTCAAATCTGCAAAAATTTAAATGCAATGTCAATTGCTATCTACTGTTCTCCAGATTACTCTTCATCTGTTCTCACTCCTTAGTAATTTTCCTGTTTCTAACTCTCCCACACCCAGTAAACCCTTGAGTCTTAGGGTCATTACTGCCTTACTTGGAGTGAACTCAAATAAATAATGAAAAAAACGTATGTGCCTGTATGTGTGTTTTTTTTTTATATCTTAAGATGCTAAAAGGAATTATGGTTAAATTCCTTTGTGATGGGACTAGAACTACAGTTTTAATGGACCCAGTTGAGTTGTGATAACTGAATACACCTTTAAAAAGGCAGGATCAGTATACACTTAATTTAGATATCTGCCTAGAAAATCTGCAACTATGGAACATTGCTGCCTAGGTCTCACTTAACTAGGCCATGACATGTAAACTCCTGTTTTAAAGGGTGGATTTAGTAAAGTGCAACCTTAAAAACTATATTGGAGGACTGAGAGATATTCACACATCTCATAGAAATGATATGGATGGGTGTGTAAAAATCCTGGAAAGTTGCCCATCATCCTTGTTCATGAAATAAAACCTTAATGTAAAACCTGAACCATGACTGTTTTTAATTGTTTGTTATTTTGAATTGTCATGTTATCATCACCACATATATTATTCAACTCCTCCTTCTACTTTGCCATTGATATGCATTCCTCCTTGTCTGCATGGTTGCCACTTCTTTCTCCTTTGGTGTCACCTCCTGTCTGTGTGGTTACCTCCTTTATTGTTCTGTAGTTTTCTTTGCTGTTGCTTCTCACCCTGTCTCCTTTACCATCATTTTCTGCTCTCCCCATCTAATCCATCGCCTCCTCTGTGGCCGCTTTCCTCCATCGCCTCCTCTGTGGCCGCTTGCTTCCATCTTTGCTCCCCTCACCACCTGTTCGATTCTTCCCCTCCCTTTGTTCTTGCTCAGCCTCATTCATTCTCTTGCTTCTCCTAACAATTGGGATATCACTTACTATTGCATTGCTTCCATGCCTCCTGTCTGTTCCATTGATTGCTCTAATTAAACGCCTTTTTTAACTGACCCCTTTGTTTTGTTTTCCATTTTAAATTATATTGTCACCACCCCATCTGTGTCATTCACCTCCTCCTCCTTTTCCATTGACATTGCCCTTCTGTCTGTACAGTTGCCTTGTTGGCTAATGCCCTCTAACTGTACTGTTTGTGCTGTTGCTTCCTTTGACATGTCCCCCACCACCATTCCATTTGTTCTGTTGCCTGCTCAACTGATTCTGGTTGTGCCCTCCATATCTGTTCCTCTGCCTGCTCTCTTTGCTTCCCCACCAGTCTGTTCCATTGCTACCTCTAACAATCATGCTTTCACTTGCTCTGTTGTCAATTCCCCTCCCACCATCTGTTCCATTGCTTTGTCTACTGTCCTTTACCTTACTGGCTGTGACCTTCCCCATCTGTGTCATCGCCTCTTTTGCTGTTGCCCTCACCTCCTGTCCTGTCATCTTGCCCATCCTCTGTCTGTGTCATTGGCTCCTTTCCTCTCACCCCTACCATCTATGTTGTTGCACCTCCCTCCACTTTTGCCATTGACCCCATTCCTATGTCTGTTGTTGCTGCCTATTTCTTCTTTGCACCCCCTGGCAATATCATCAAAGACAAAAATTTGTATGATTATGGATTATTGCACCTACTTTATTTCATGATGCTGACTATAAATGAGATGGTAAATTGAAATTAACATGAATAAAATAAAGTTTCATTTTCTTCTCTCCTAAATGACTCACTTTTTACCACAGTATGTTTTTTTTTTTTTTTTTTTCCCAAACAGATAGAAAACCCTATAGTTTGTTGAAATATTAATTAAATTCTATTGTAGCAGAATAAACCAATTTCCATATTGTCTAATTCAGTAGGTGATTTTTTTTTTTTCTCTCTCTCCCGTAAATGCAGTTCCCGATGTGGGACTTATGATGAACGGAAAGACCATCTGGATTACCTGATTCTGCGTGCCAACAGTGCCCTTTCACGGCTGGATGCAATGGTCAAGGCAAATGATCCTAACTATCCACTTGATGTCCTTCGGCTGTTTCATAATTGTCAAAGTCTTGACAAATTCTTGAAACTGTCACATTTTGATGATCCTGACATGAATGACCTCGTCTCGCTAATAGGAGCAGAAGTAAGTAAATTGAAAGGCAGTGACAACCAAAAACAGCCAAACGATTTGTCTTGTGTAGCGTCACCAATGTCCGAGGACAACCAAGAGACTCTGCCAACTGGTTCCTGTCAAGTCGCTTGTTCACCTTTAAATCGGACAGATGTTTCTTTATCAGGGAATAATGTAAATAATTATAATGAAGAAGAGTCATGTATATACAAATGTGACCAGGCCAGTACGAAACTTAGCACATCACAGTCAGCTATGTTTTTACTTCAGTCAGATAAGGGTGACTCTGGAGTGGACTTGACACTTGCCACCAGTAAGACAATGTCGAAATCTATGGATTTCAGCAGCAGTGTTAAAGAGACTCCAATATGGATGCGATTGGCATCCTCTCGATTGAACAACTTTAATCAGGAAAATGTGGAGTGGGATAAGTCAATGAAAGAACTCTGTTCCCGCCTCATTAAACTGCTGCAGGATAGAATTGGACGAATGCCGAAGGAAGTGAACAAAAAGTGGCGGAAACGGATCTTGGAAGCCACGAGGAATGTACCATTTTGTGATGACTGTTACAAGGAGAAAGGGGTACAAACAGAATCCTCGCAAGTGGAGGAGACGGACGCTCTGCCAGGACACAGTTGGTTTTCAGTGACTGCTGGCCCCACAGAGCACAAGGCCGTACAGACTAGTGTGACTGTTGAGGCCATTGCTGCATCGGGGGCTGCTACAGCCATCACTGTTGGTGGTACAGACGAAGCCAGTGGTGCCAGCAATGAACACAAGAGTGATACTGATGCTGGTAATGAGGTTAATAAATTGGACAATTCTTTGTCTTTAGATCCTCAAGAAGATGTCTCGGTTGAAGAATTTGACCCAGCAGCAAGAAACACAAATGGTAAATATTTATTTTGTCTTTTATTATTTTTATTTATTGCTTTTTAAATATTGTTTATGATATCATGGGTAGGATTTATGAAAAATATGTATGTAATCTTTTATTGCTTGAATCACTGTTAAATTCATAGCTTGACTTCATGACTTGCTAAAATATTAACCAATTTTATAAAATATTTCTTCAAGAGTGCTAGCGTTTTTAAATGCTACAATGCTGTTTAATTGCTATCCATTCCAAGAGATGGTTACAGTCTCCTTTCAATTAATGGTGTTTAGGAGGGGGGGATGGTAATTTTAAGAGGAAAATTTTTTGTAATTGTTTCACTGCAAGAAATCAAAAATTTCAAATAGGAAAACTTTAATTACTATTATTATTATTTCAATATATAGGGTAACTAATTTTTTAATACATGTATGTATATTATTTTATTTTTTCTATTAAACCCAATTACAAAATTCAAATTTATTCTATACTAAACATGTGAAACGTTTAGTCTGTCATGGAAATGGATTGTGAATTTTTTATTCTTTTATTATTGTTAATTATTGTTGCTATAGTTATCAATTTGTAAAAAGATTATGCTTACCATGACATGTTAAATTACATAATTTTACATGTTTATCAATAGATGTTTTATATATATATATATATATATATATATATATATATAATAAATGCATGTTTCATTAAATATAGACAAGTTTTGTCTATTTATTTTAAGTTCCTTTCATATTGTTTGATAAGCTTAATCACATTATCGTTGAAAGATGAAAGGAAAACACCATATTGATACATGTTTAAATCCAATCTAAGCTTTCGGCATACATAAGCCGTTATCAAAGATGACAATTTCAATAAATCAAACACACGGACGAAACAACAATGATAGTCCGCCCTTGCTGCATGAAAACTTCCAAGTAACGACAAACTCGTATATATGAGACACGGAGGCGAAAATAGTGTCGCAGCTTGTGATATCACACATGACCATGTGAGAGTGAAAAACGAGAAGTATTAAGTATGGCTTCTGTTATAAATTATAGGCATTTAAGGATATTTGTGGAGATTTCATAGTTTATTTTAGGTTTCAACTGTTTTATGTATAAAGCTTCAAGAATTATTGTTTGTTTTCATGTTTAAGTATTGTTGTGTTGAGTACGCAGACAGGCATGGTGTTTTAAATGTCTAAAAATGTTAGTTATCATTTAAATGTGATTAAGCTTATCAGACAATATGAAAGGAACTTACTTTAAATAAATAGACAAAACTTGTCTACATTATTTAATGAAACCTGCATCAATGAAAAAATTGCTGCCTAAATATACATACATACATACACACACACACACACACACACACATATATATATATATATATATATATATATATATAATATAATATTCAGTTTTATGGATATTAGTTTGTAACCCTGGGTTTCACGTTTTTACGATCATCAGGCAAACTGGTTTATTTTTTACAAAGTGGATCTATTTGTGTGTGATGAAGGGGGGAAATTTTCCTGTGTGTTAGTTTGGGGTAACATAGACACAGATACATACAGGCGTATGTATTTTAGTTCATACAAACACACCCATATAAACAATCTGAGGTTAGGCACAGATGCACATTCATGAGTTCGAGCATATGCACATATATATGCAATTGTCATTCTATTTCAGTGTCAAGACTATGGTGATTACATATGCAGCAATGTTCTCTTAACATGGAACAGGTGGGGGTGGTCTTGACGTTTCTCAGGTCAGACATCTGTGCTGTCAGATAAGCTCACATTTCCTCACATGTAGACATGTTACATATGTTAGCTCTATCACAGATATTGTGCACTTTCCACTAAGTACTGTGCATAAAAAAAATTAATATTATGAACGTTTAAATTTATATTTGATTCATTCTTATTACCTTTGGAGATGTGTGTGTAAAAAAAAAAAAAAAAAAAAAAAATATATATATATATATATATATATATATATTTTCATTGAAAAAAAAAAAAAAAAATAATATATAAATATATAAAAAATCCAAATGTTCTTTTTATATATATTTAGCCATTATATATATATATTTTAGCATTAAATAAGAAACAGTTTGTTGTATGTATGTTTTATCCAGACATTTTAGTTTTTTATACAATTTCATTTTCAGTTTCTTGTCTCAGGGCTGAAAATAATTTTTTTCTGTGATTTCGGGTGATAAACTGTTATCACAATTTGAAAAAACTCATTTCCTTTATTTAAATGTTCTTTTGGGGTCGACTGTGTATTTAATATATATATATATATATATATATATATATATATATATATATATATATATATATATATATATATATATGGTTTACCTAAAGTCTGGAGACATAGGCAAAAAAGAAAAAAAAAATATAGTTAATGAGATTTCCCATGTGTCCAGACATGCCCGTGCACACCTTAAAGATCAGTGATTGTTCTTTTCAAGGCACATCGTGTAAGTAGATGCTTGAGGTGAGTAAGGGATTGCACAGATTTAGATCCACTCCTGAACCCCCCCCCCCAATGATCCAGCAGTGAGTTATTGTCCCTAATAGCTGGCGGAGGATCAGTTGTAGCCTTAATGAGAAGAAAACTCTTATAACTTCACTGCATGTGTACACTCAATAAATTTGAATTCTGTTTTTCTTCTCTTAAATTGGCTGTCATGGTTAGAGGGACTAGTTTACCTTGCCATTTCTCATGGCTAGAGGGAGATGGATTTATATCCTTTCCAAGGGTATTAGTATAAAGTGAATGTAACCGACTCTGTTGGAATTTCAACTCCACTTCTTTTTATGAATTGGGCACTGCTTAAATTGCTTGGTCCATGCCAAGAAGGAAAAAAAATGGGGAAAAAGAGACCTTCATTTGTAGATTAGCGTTCGTTAGACCTTCATTTGTAGATTAGCGTTCGTTAGACCTTCATTTGTAGATTAGCGTTCGTTAGACCTTCATTTTGTAGATTAGCGTTCGTTAGACCTTCATTTGTAGATTAGCGTTCGTTAGACCTTCATTTGTAGATTAGCGTTCGTTGAGACCTTCATTTGTAGATTAGCGTTCGTTAGACCTTCATTTGTAGATTAGCGTTCGTTAGACCTTCATTTGTAGATTAGCGTTCGTTAGACCTTCATTTGTAGATTAGCGTTCGTTAGACCTTCATTTGTAGATTAGCGTTCGTTAGACCTTCATTTGTAGATTAGCGTTCGTTAGACCTTCATTTGTAGATTAGCGTTCGTTAGACCTTCATTTGTAGATTAGCGTTCGTTAGACCTTCATTTGTAGATTAGCGTTCGTTAGACCTTCATTTGTAGATTAGCGTTCGTTAGACCTTCCTGAAGCTGCAACATTTGTCAGAATTGGAAAAAAATATTGATTTTTAAAATCAATTTAGAAGAGGTGTCCTGTTTGTAACAAATCCATCCCTGATTTTTTACAGATTTATCAGGTAGGAATTGTTGAGTTTCTAGAAACGTCTGTAAAACTACAGTATAGCCCAACATACAAAAAAACATATAATCCTCAACATATTCAATATCTTTTTGTAAAAAAATTTAAAAACTAAATTTTGACCTAACAAAGAATTACTTGTTTACTATATATATATATATATATATATACACACACACACCTATTCATAAATGACAAACTGTTGTTTTTCTAATGAAAAATAAATTTTGTCAGACAAACAGTTGCTATTGTTTGTTTAAAATATTTTCTTAAATACATAAAAATGTATATAAACATTTTTTCTTTATGTAAAAGATCATTTTGAAAAAAAGAAGGATGTTTTCATATGTAGATATCAATGATGTAAGGCAAGTTTGAAGCATTTGTAAGTAATAAATCAAGGTGGAGGAATGTTCTACCTTAGTTTTCCATACTTCTTCTTAATATCTACTCTATCTGTTGGGATATTGTCAGCCATTATAGAATAATTGGTTTTCTTGCGGTTAATTGAAAGCAAACACTTGAAAAATTATCTGTTTGTGATTTGTTCAATGAATATTACAGAGATTATTAAAAAAAAACAAACAAAAATGATGAATTGAAAAACATCTCTTAATTTCTTTTCTTTTCGTTTTTTAGGCTTCCAAGTTGTAGAAGAAACCCCAACTTCTCATCATTACCTAACTCACACTCACTTAAGCAGTCAAAAGAACTTCTTAACATCACTTAGGCGAGAGGTAAGGTGATTTTAAAAAGAAGTTTTTTTTTTTTTTTTTTTTTTTTGGGGCTTTTTTGTTTAGCAACATTTCTAGCTTTTAGTTTTATTTTGATTTATCTTCTAAAAAACAAATCAAAAAAATAAATTAGAAAAGTAATTTTGAAAATATTAATTTTATTATCTGAGAGTAACAATTCAAAAATATGCCTTTTAAGTAGGCGCCCAAGGGGGTCGTCAGTGATGTTTTGATTTGGTTCATCAGGGAGTTTCGGGTCTTTCAACATCATACTCCCCATCACTAAATCGACCCAATCAGGGGAGATCAACCCCTGATTCCCCCTTCCACTCAAACGCTAACAGCTACTCTGGTCTTTTTAAAGAATAAGAGGAAGAAAGACCACGTATTCCGCGCATCCGATTGGATGTTTGTAACAACCAATCCGCTGCGCGAACTATCTTTTAAATGGCCCGCGGTGGGGACTGGCTTCTTTTCTTATTTCGGTGGATTGCAGTTTCAATGGATAACTTAATGTTCCTAAATCTTACCCTTTTCCTTAAGTATTGTACGGTTTAATTATTTGCCATTTTTATTTTATTGTACTTTTTTCCTTTCTTTTAATGTCCACCATAAAATCCAGCACAAATTTTTAGTTTTCTCAAAACATTCGTAAAACTACAATCAAACCCGACAACAAAAACATAATCCTCAATATATTCAATTCTACAATAATAGACCAATGGCTATTCCCTCATTTTGTCTCTGAAACAAAGAAGCACTACTGAAAGAAGTAAACAAAAAGCCTGATATCATAATAAACATTTACTATATATAAAATCACACTCTGAGTAATCTCTGACCGTCATATAGACTTGACACAACAACAACAAAAACATGGTCAACAACTACAAAGCATTCTATACTGATGGATAAAAATCCCTTGTGCATATTTATAGTTATTAACTCTGAACATTCTACTTCAACCTGTATTTTCAAATATGCTCCAGAAAGATCCAGCTTTGAAAAAAATTTTCTACCATCTAAATTTGCAAAAATTTCCTCTGGACTTGGTAATGGGTAGTTATAGAATTCTAAATGTTTGTTTTGCCCTGTCAAAAACTCAGCAAAAAACACAAATTTTATTATTATTTTTCTTTACGTACACTGCTGGTGCTGCCTATTTTAAATTGTTAATCTTTTCAATTACACCTATTTTTTTTCAAGTCTGTCTAATTCTTCATTGACTTGATTGAATGCTGTGAACGGTGTACGACATTTCGATTTAAACACTGGCATCGTCCCTTTTTTCACTTGAAATTTTGCTTTGACTTTGGAACACCAACACAACTCATCTGACAGAACATTTCGAAAACATTTTTTCAATTATTCCTTTTTAATTTTCATTTTTTTTTTTTTTTTTTTTTTTTTTTTAAACTAGTAGCTTGTCCACCTACATTTTTGTAATAATATTTATAGGTAAATCCCACTACTCAAATAATTTCATACAGTCAGTATCAAAAAAGTTTGTAGTATTTTTTAACGCATAAGCCTTAGCTTTTACACACTTGTTATGAAAGGAAATGTTACAAGTTGTTTCACCAACAAAAAATAATTTCTTACCTGACACGTCATGTGCAATTTACAAAGTTCTTTTTAATATAGGTTTTCTGTTTGCTTTCCACGTGTCTTTATTGATTATTGTGATATCACTATGACTATCTAGTTACATTTTTACATCCACATTATTAATTTTCACATACACAAATTTTATTTGATTTTCTGTAATTATTTTTTCTGTCGCAACGCTGTGTATGAAATTCTTTCTGTCAGAACTTTTCCTTGCATTAGTGACTTTTTATATACTACTTTTCCACGCTTGTAGCACTTTGAATTCATAGAGGGATAGTCACCTCTGAGATGTAAACTTCCATATCTGAAACATGGATTAATTTTTCTTTTTCTGTATTTCTCTTTAGCTTGTATGTATACTCATTATTTTTCTTTAATTTCTTCTGTATTGCATTACAAATTTAAGATTCTCTGACATTCGTCGATATTTTTTGCAGTGTTAGTTTTTGATTCTGTTCGAGTTTTGTTAGAATTCTAGCACATATTTCTGCATTTTTTTCACCGTTAACCCTTGAACAAAAATTAATCCTTTAAACATGTCTAGAGTTGGTTTGTTTAATTTGAATCTTTCACACTCGTTTTTAACGATACCAGCTTATGTAACAAAATTTTTGTCTTTTTTTTTTTTTTTTTTTTGTCAGATTCATGCACTTCCAACAAGTATTGAATAACAAACTTTTCTCATTAAAAAGTTTAGTCAGAATATTTACTGTTTCTTCAAAGCAATTTTTCCTCCTCTTTTTTTTTTTTTTTTTTTTTTTTTTTTTTCAGTAGTGACAAAATTATGGTATTTTTCATAATTTACAAGTGTTAACTTTCTCAACAAAAGTCTTGTTTTTTCTTGTCTTCCCAGTCACTGCATTCTTCTCTGAAAATTTGCTTGTATCTTCTAAAAGAAGCATAAAAAGTAATTCCACCATCTGAAATGTAAATGAATTTGGTTATGCCATTTGCCACTGTCGGGAGGGAAAGAAATTTTCTTCTATATTCAATTAAATTTTGTTGTTGTTTCTGGAGGTCTAACAATTGCTGTTGTTGTTTTTTTTTCCACACACCAAGAGAAAAAAGTGAAACTAACATGGCTCTAATTTCTTGTCATCACTGTCATCATGTGCACCGAAGCAAAAAAGAAAGTACTTTTCCTACTTTGTATGAGTTTTGATTCCTTGTCACCAATGTTATAACTCACTAGTGGTTATAATATTATGTCTCACTTAGGCTACTTGCCGTGACATCATTAGAATTTTACTCGACTGACTCAACACACTTCTACTGACTCACACTGAGTTCCTTATTTAAGGCATCTTGTCTAATTCATTTGTGTTACTGGGGGTGTCTTATTTATTCCACAATAATATCTGTAAAAAAATATGTTTACCCTGAAAGTATAAAATTGCATACAAAAAATCTGTAGATGAAGCCATGCAAAATATTTGGCTTTCAGGATTGAGTGGCCCATGAAAATTGTCATGTTGAACAAAATCAACCATTTTGGCATTAATGACACATAGTGGTTGATGTGCCAGTGAAATAACTAATCAATCTAGGAACATCTGTTAGGAATTGTCAGGTTCCTAGAAACATCTGGTAGGAATTGTTATGTTTCATCCTGTAACCCATATTAATGTCTGCTGTGCCAAAAAAAAAAAAAATGATACAGTAGGACTTAAAGGGTTAAATAGTGAAAAATGCTAACTTGGCAAGTAAGTTTTTGTTTTCTCATATCCTTACAAAATTTATAAAAGAATATATAAAAACAATATACTGAAAATATTGAAAACATTTGATTATATACTTGTTAAATTTATTTCAAAACTAATTTTTCTTCAATAATTTAGGTATTCAGTTATCGGAATTATTTTTTTTTTTTCAACTCCTGTCGCAAGGTGACCAGATAATCAAGGCAGTACTGTACCCCCTCAGATTTTTTTGTATTTTCCATTACATTATTGGAATATCTGGTCAATGCAGATACAGCCTATTCCCATCCTTGGAATCTCTATTTCTATTTTGTTGATTTGAAAAATAAATAAAAAAAACGAACGCATATAGGGGTGTGAACATACCCACATAAGTACAGACGCACACACATGAGCATGCAAACATATACGTGTGGGTACATGTATACATGCATATTTGTATGCAAGTATACATGCGCAGGTGTGTGCATACATTCACCTGCACAAAAACACATACATACACAAAACTACAACCATTGTCCAAACTAAAATAACTAAAACAATGCCAAAGTTAAAGAACATACTAAACATAAACCAATGAAAAAATACAAAAGAACAAACTAATTGGCTTAGCATCACCAACAAAAAACTGTTCTTTATATAACTAGGTACAAGTATCAAACAATAAGTTAAAACACTAATTAAAATCAAATAATGCAACCTATTAAAATATATTAAAACACTAAGTAAAGTTAAATAATACAACCCACTAAAATCCATATACAGTTAATGCAAACACACACACACACACGCACAATTTGACACACAATACAGGTGAATGTGTGCTTGTATGTATGTGTGCACATGCATAGGCATGTACCTAAACACATACCTGTACAAACATACATACATACATACACAAAACTTCAACCATGACCTAAATTAAATGGTCAACACAATACTAATAAACCAGAGATCAATGGAGAAGGTGAGGAAAGAAAAAAATAAGAGAAAAATTAAAAAAGAAAAAGGGAGAGGAAGTGAAATCTGCAAACAATCAACATCCATCAAAGTGAAAAGAAATATACTCATACCACAAAAGTACAAGAGAATCTAGAAATGTCAGCAGTTTAACTTTGTTCTGATGAGTGCTTATACTTATATAACTGTGAAACTCTGAAGTAAACACGAGTTAAGTGAAAAAAAAAACTTTAATATTAATTCTATATATAATACAGGTAAAAAGTTTGTCATTTAGTTTCTTGATGTTGCCTTCAGCATCCCAACTGCAGTTTCATAGACACACCCTCTGAGAATCACTCCATTCATTCATCAGGAGGTATCAGCAATTTACTGCTTATATTTCTTGATTTTTTTTCTTTTTTATATGCACCTTTTCATTGGTACAAGTTTTTTTTTTTTTTTCATAATGTGTGTGCATTCATGCTCATCTGTGCAAAATTTGGTGATTATTTGCCCATTTCATTATTTTTTTAATTTTCCCCATTTTCCTCTTTTTTTTCAACTGTAGCCATTTTGATTACCAGTTTTCTAGACATATACTGTCGTTAATTCTTTAGATATAGTATACAAAATAGAAATGATACTTACATTCCGTGGTTTTTGTGCTTCATGTTCTCATGCAGTTTCTTTTCTGGGTGCTCCATAATCCTGTAGTGGAAAAGGACAGTTGGATTCTGTATCTTTTTTTTTTTATATTGTATATTGCTCTGTATATATTTCTTATGTTTTACATTGAGCCGTGTATATATGTATGTATGTATATATGAGAGAGAGAGGTGACAGTTGTTGATTTATGGCAGATACAATTAAAAATAAGTCATTTTGTGTCAGTTAATTTTAATGATAGACTTTCCTGAATTATAATTTTTCTCAGACCAGGAGGAAATTCCATCAGATATTGTCCAAAGTTCATTTCAATAGAAAAGTACAAGAAAAGTGGTTAAACCTTTTGACTTAAGTCATCATCAGGGTAGGTAAACTCACCAATTGTCTCTACTTACCCTGATGATGGCACAAAATTAATCTACATAAAATGTCAGTCATTTTTAATTGCATTCTTGGGCCAGCTCTGTTTCTAAAATTAATTTTTTGATGTTTGGTCATTGAAAATACTAATTTAATTTTTTGATGTTTGGTCATTGAAAATACTAATTTAATTTTTTGATGTTTGGTCATTGAAAATACTAATTTAATTTTTTTGATGTTTGGTCATTGAAAATACTAATTTAATTTTTTGATGTTTGTCATTGAAAATACTAATTTAATTTTTGATGTTTGGTCATTGAAAATACTAATTTAATTTTTTGATGTTTGGTCATTGAAAATACTAATTTAATTTTTGATGTTTGGTCATTGAAAATACTAATTTAATTTTTTGATGTTTGGTCATTGAAAATACTAAAATTTTTTTTACTAATTTAATTTTTTGATGTTTGGTCATTGAAAATACTAATTTAATTTTTTGATGTTTGGTCATTGAAAATACTAATTTAATTTTTTGATGTTTGGTCATTGAAAATACTAATTTAATTTTTTGATGTTTGGTCATTGAAAATACTAATTTAATTTTTTTGATGTTTGGTCATTGAAAATACTAATTTAATTTTTTGATGTTTGGTCATTGAAAATACTAATTTAATTTTTGATGTTTGGTCATTGAAAATACTAATTTAATTTTTGATGTTTGGTCATTGAAAATACTAATTTAATTTTTTTGATGTTTGGTCATTGAAAATACTAATTTAATTTTTTGATGTTTGGTCATTGAAAATACTAATTTAATTTTTTGATGTTTGGTCATTGAAAATACTAATTTAATTTTTTGATGTTTGGTCATTGAAAATACTAATTTAATTTTTTGATGTTTGGTCATTGAAAATACTAATTTAATTTTTTGATGTTTGGTCATTGAAAATACTAATTTAAATGTTTTTTGAAAATACTAATTTAATTTTTTGATGTTTGGTCATTGAAAATACTAATTTAATTTTTTGATGTTTGGTCATTGAAAATACTAATTTAATTTTTTGATGTTTGGTCATTGAAAATACTAATTTAATTTTTTGATGTTTGGTCATTGAAAATACTAATTTAATTTTTTGATGTTTGGTCATTGAAAAATACTAATTTAATTTTTTTTGATGTTTGGTCATTGAAAATACTAATTTAATTTTTGATGTTTTTTGAAAATACTAATTTAATTTTTGATGTTTGGTCATTGAAAATACTAATTTAATTTTTTTGATGTTTGGTCATTGAAAATACTAATTTAATTTTTTTGATGTTTGGTCATTGAAAATACTAATTTAATTTTTTTGATGTTTGGTCATTGAAAAAAATTTAATTTTTGAATTGAAAATACTAATTTAATTTTTGATGTTTGGTCATTGAAAATACTAATTTTATATAATTGAGGAGGTGCTGAAATCTCCCCAAAATGCCTGCTGTTTGGTTTTTTTTTTTTTTTTTTTTTTTTAACCTATGGGCAATATATGCATGCAAGAAAAAAAAAAAAAAAAAAAAAACTGACCCTATCTAGGGATATCTCCTCTAATTTTTCTTTTGTATTTCTCAATTATTGGTTATTCAGTTTCCACTGAATCCAAGTATACACTGCCCAGCCCAGAGATTGAACTCACTCTATTTCCCTGAAGATAAAAAAAAAACCAGATCTACAAGCAGTTGAAAAAGGCCAAAATGTGTTGATCACAACAGCAATGATTCTGACATTAATCCAAATGTAAATTAGGCAAAATCTGTATTCCAGAAATAATTATTTTCATCTGTCCTAAAAGTCCTTTTTGACTATATGAAATTTTTATCATTGTGAACATTTTTATATATTTAATAATTTTGGTTGATCCACAAGTAAATGATTTTTTTTTTTTTTTTAAGACAAAATTATTGAAGACCAGTCTTCCTGATGGTATATTTATTAAAGAGTTTGAAGAACGAATGGTTGGTATTTTTCTTAGTTGCATTTTTTTCTCTTCGTTTTATTTTTTTTCTCTTCTCTTCGTTTTATTTTTTTTCTCTCTCTCTCTCTTCGTTTTATTTCTTCTCTCTCTCTCTTCGTTTTATTTCTTCTCTCTCTCTCTCTCCGTTTTATTTCTTCTCTCTCTCTCCGTTTTCTTTTTCTCTCTCTCCGTTTTTATTTCTTTTCTTTCTCTCTCTCTCCGTTTTATTTCTTTTCTCTCTCTCTCCGTTTTATTTCTTTTCTCTCTCTCTCCGTTTTATTTCTTCTCTCTCTCTCTCCGTTTTATTTCTTCTCTCTCTCTCTCTCCGTTTTATTTCTTTTCTCTCTCTCTCTCCGTTTTATTTCTTTTCTCTCTCTCTCTCCGTTTTATTTCTTTTCTCTCTCTCTCTCCGTTTTATTTCTTTTTTCTCTCTCTCCCTTTTTTTATTTCTTTTTCTCTCTCTCTCCGTTTTATTTCTTTTTCTCTCTCTCTCCGTTTTATTTCTTTTCTCTCTCTCTCTCCGTTTTATTTCTTTTCTCTCTCTCTCTCCGTTTTATTTCTTTTCTCTCTCTCTCTCTCCGTTTTATTTCTTTTCTCTCTCTCTCTCTCCGTTTTATTTCTTTTCTCTCTCTCTCTCTCTCCGTTTTATTTCTTTTCTCTCTCTCTCTCTCTCCGTTTTATTTCTTTTCTCTCTCTCTCCGTTTTATTTCTTTTCTCTCTCTCTCCGTTTTATTTCTTTTTCTCTCTCTCTCCGTTTTATTTCTTTTTCTCTCTCTCTCTCCGTTTTATTTCTTTTCTCTCTCTCTCTCCGTTTTATTTCTTTTCTCTCTCTCTCTCCGTTTTATTTCTTTTCTCTCTCTCTCTCCGTTTTATTTCTTTTCTCTCTCTCTCTCCGTTTTATTTCTTTTCTCTCTCTCTCTCCGTTTTATTTCTTTTCTCTCTCTCTCTCCGTTTTATTTCTTTTTCTCTCTCTCTCTCTCTCCGTTTTATTTCTTTTCTCTCTCTCTCTCTCCGTTTTATTTCTTTTTCTCTCTCTCTCTCTCCGTTTTATTTCTTTCTCTCTCTCTTTATTTCTTTTTTCTCTCTCTCTCTCTCCGTTTTATTTCTTTTCTCTCTCTCTCTCTCCGTTTTATTTCTTTTTCTCTCTCTCTCTCTCCGTTTTATTTCTTTTTCTCTCTCTCTCTCCGTTTTATTTCTTTTCTCTCTCTCTCTCTCCGTTTTTCTTTTCTCTCTCTCTCTCTCCGTTTTATTTCTTTTCTCTCTCTCTCTCTCCGTTTTATTTCTTTTCTCTCTCTCTCTCTCTCCGTTTTATTTCTTTTCTCTCTCTCTCTCTCCGTCTTATTTCTTTTCTCTCTCTCTCTCTCCGTCTTATTTCTTTTCTCTCTCTCTCTCTCCGTTTTATTTCTTTTCTCTCTCTCTTTCTTTCTCCTATTTCTTTCTTTTTCTTTTTCCCTTTTTTTCTTCTATTTAGTTTTTCTTCATTTAGTTTCCATTTTTCTTCTAATAGTTTCTTTTTGTTTTGTTTTTGTCTGTCTTTAATCCTATCCCTCCATACCAATATATAAAATTTACTTTGTAGAGAATTTCACAAATAATCTCCTTTTTATTAGAATGCTAAGTAGCTCCCCAGATCTGATTTTATTGCCATCTATGGTGTACAATTTGTATTTTGCAAATTTTCCTTAATCAATTTTTTGAGGATTTAATAATGCTTGAAAGTAAGTTCAGATCACTTAACCAAATTACACTTTTGCTAGAATTAATACTTGATAATCTGTTTCAGTTTTGTGAAAATGATTGAGATGGAATTTTTGAAGAAAAAAAAAACAAAGCATTTTTATTAATTAACCTTAACTCAGTCTGGCACAGTACCATTAATAATTGGGTACTATGAGTATTCAACTTTGTACACTATTAGTAATTTGTAGGTACAACATGTTAGTTTTGGTTAGGATCTCAAGAATATTAAGTGTTAGAAGTTGAATAAACTATTGTTATTGTAGTAGATTAGAAACTTGTAATTTTATTTTTGTTTCTAATTGTAATGCCTCACATCATTTTATTGCTAATTTTGAAATATAATTTCATTGTGTAAGAAAAAAAAATGGCAATGTTTAACCTTTGTGTCTGCAAAAAAAAATAGTTTGTCAAAAGGATGATTATTTCCTTGGCACTGCTATTACTGCATACACTTTTGACTCCCTCAGCAATGTTTGCTTTATAATACAGTGATTAGAATTTAAATAAAACTGAAATGTATGAAAATGGATATATACATTTTATTTATTCTTAAGAACAAAGCTTATTTAATCTGTTGGCAGATTTTCTATGAATTTTTTTTATATTAACAATGATTTAAAAATACTTCAAAATTGTTTTATAAAAAGTAGTTTGAATTAGGATAACCTATAATTGCTAACATTTCAGGCTTGGATTTCTATTGATCAGTCACCCCTGATCCTAGATCATGATTGGATTTCTATTGATCAGTCACCCCTGATCCTAGATCATGATTGGATTTCTGATTGATCAGTCACCCTGATCCTAGATCATGATTGGATTTCTATTGATCAGTCACCCCTGATCCTAGATCATGATTGGATTTCTATTGATCAGTCACCCTGATCCTAGATCATGATTGGATTTCTATTGATCAGTCACCCCTGATCCTAGATCATGATTGGATTTCTATTGATCAGTCACCCCTGATCCTAGATCATGATTGGATTTCTATTGATCAGTCACCCCTGATCCTAGATCATGATTGGATTTCTATTGATCAGTCACCCCTGATCCTAGATCATGATTGGATTTCTATTGATCAGTCATCCTTGATCCTGATTGAATTTCTATTGATTAGTTCTAGATTATGATTGAATTTCTATTGATTAGTCATTCCTCATCTTGGATCATGATTATAAAAAAAAATGGAAAATTAAAACAAATAATGTGAGATATTGAATATAAAACTTGTTTTCATTGTTATTTATAAAATAATAATTATCGCCTTGTTTACATATTTTGATAATTTTTATAAATTTTTGAATAAATAAATTTCTTTTTTTTTTAATAAGTTTTCCTTTTCAAATTCATTTGTTTTATAAAATGGTTGATAGTGAATCTTTATAAAAGGCAAATAATAATAAATATCATTGTACTTGGTTCACATATTTTAATAATCTTGTAAATAAACATTGTCAAGGGAAATAACTGTCCTTTTAACACATTTTTTTTTTTTTTTGGCTGGCACAATGTTTAAACTTTACTAAAAATTTCAATAATCTGCATACTTGTAAATTCTATATTAAAACTCTCTTTAAAATTAAAATCTGGTCAAATATTTTGAAAATGTTTTTTGGATGAAACATGCTGATATTTTTTTAAAATTTTTTTTTAAGGATCTCTTTTCTGTGATGATTGTTGGGCCTGCTAAAACACCCTATGAAGATGGTCTGTTCATTTTCGATGTCCAATTACCAAATGATTACCCTTCGTCCCCACCAAGATTCCACTATATTTCTTACTGTACCGACCGTCTCAACCCCAATCTCTATGAAGATGGAAAAGTGTGTGTGAGTTTACTGGGTACTTGGTCTGGCAAGGTAACTATCGAGCAAAATCTTTGACTTAGAGAGAAAATGTCTTGACATGAAAGAAATCCCCAAAAGATCCAGTGATTTTATTCCTGATGAGATTTGAATTCTTGAAAGAGAATTTACTCTGTACTTGGAGAGAAATGTACATTTTTGGGCAGGAAGGGAAGTAACTCTTCTAAAACATAATCGAGGGACTGTATTAGTTATAGATTATAACAGGTATGGGCAACCTTTTTTTTAAGCAGTGGGCTACATGATTTATGGCACATCACAAGGCGAACTGCACTGCTAAAAAGATTCAAGGTAATTTTTCGTAGTAGGTACATCAGCTATTTTCACTACTGAAAACTATGTGTAAGCATATACCTTAGAAATGGAGTGGGGTTATTTTGGAGAAAAGATTTTTCTATAATTAAAAATGGAACTCTTGATTTAATATTATCACTGATTATCATGTGATTTATTTTTAATTTATTCATTTGAAAACAAAAACATATTTCTTTAGAGAAATCATTATGAATGTTTCTAGTTTCAAAAGCAAAAAATACTAAACATGTATGAAAACCACTAATGGTTTAAAATGAGAAAAACATTATTTTCATTCAAAGTTTATAAAATTCAAGAAACATTGTACTTACTCATTGTTATGTATTAGAGAGAGTGTGTGAGTGATTAAATTGGAACAAAATGAAACAAGATATTAAGAATCTTCGTATTCCTTATGAAATTTAGCATGCCATTCATAAAGGCCAAATGGGCTGCATATGGCCTGTGGACTGCAATTTGCCCATAGCCAGAATTAAGAAAATGTCCAGGCTGCAATTTGCCCATAGCCAGAATTAAGAAAATGTCCAGGCTGCAATTTGCCCATAGCCAGAATTAAGAAAATGTCCAGGCTGCAATTTGCCCATAGCCAGATAAAAAAAAAAAAATCTCATCTTTTATTTGTTTGAAACAGTTAAACTGGCAATATTTTCTCTAATAGATTAGTTGTTGTATTCTAATTCTGGAAGAAATACTATTTATCAGTGTTTTTTTTTTTTTATCGCATTAGGGTAATGAGATGTGGACACAGGAATCTAATCTACTCCAAGTACTTGTTTCCATCCAAGGTATGTACTTCACTTTCAGGTGCCTTTCTTTCTTTCTTTTTTTTTTGTTTGGTGCTTCAAATATATACTCATCTTAACTGTGTGTGTGTGTGTGTACAATATGATTGGAATAAAGTCTAAAGGAAAACTTTTCTTTACTGTGTTTCATCCTCTTAATCGAGGTAAATATATGGATTTTATTTTAAACGTTAAATCCATACATTTACCTTGATAAAGTCCATCAGAAGATGAAACAGGGAATACCAAGTTCTGTAAGCTTGGATTTCTGGGTGGTGTAATGGATAATTGTTAATTAGAAAACAAGAGTTCCAATTCCAGTTTGTTATATTCACTTATGTGCATATACCTTTGGGAAAGGTATATATCCACCTCTTCTACTCCCCAGCTATGGGTTAATTACTAAGATTTGTATTACTAAACCATGGTCTCAAAAAAATAATAATTCCTGCAATCTAAAAATACTTTGTTTTATATAAATTTGTAACGGGTTGATAAAATGTAGAAAATGAATGAATGAATGAATGAATGAATTGGGATGAAATGCATTGGTAAAGAAGTTTTCCTTTTCATATTGTGTTTAAAAATCCAGTTTTAAATATATATATATATATATATATATATATATATATATATATATATATAGATGGGCAGCAATTATTCATTTATGCTTGTTTGATTAAAAACCTATGAAAGTCTTTTTTTTTTTTTTTTTTTTTTTAAATTTTTTTAATTTCCATTTACTAATTAAAACTTGTCTTGCTAGGATTTTCTTTCTAAATTTTTCATTTTTTTTTTTTTTTTTTTACCGCTTTATTGAATTTAAATTCGATGTATTTGGGTAGTATTTCTTGTTCTTATCGATTAAAAATTAAAAACAATGAAATTTCTCTGTGTGTATATATATATATATATATATATATATATATATATATATATATATATATATATTTATTTTGGCAGCATGTCATTACTGAGGTACATGTTATTAAAGACTACAGATGTTTTTCCATTTAATAATCTTTCTTTTAGATTTTTCTTGCTTTCTCACAGGTTTCTTTATATTTGGTTCTAAGTTGTTGAAAAAAACCCCAGTCCTTGGTTTTTTGCTGAGTGCATTCAGTTGCCAGCAAATCCTCCAAAATAAATAAAAAAAAAAAAAAAAAATCCTAATCCACAATATCAAAATCCTCTACAAAAACAATTGCAAAAAACGCTTACAAATTCTTGAAGCCATCACAGTTAAAAACCAAAAACCCAACATAAATAAAATAGGATTTAATACAGGCAGAAACATTTTAAACATATTTAATAACTCCCAATTGCTAATGTACTAATCCAACAACACGGTCTGAATACCAAAAAATATTATCTATAAAAAATAAAAAGCAACTTAATTCAAACCAAAACATATAGCCATGATGATGGCTGATGACAACTGAAAGTGCTCAGCAAAAAAAAACAAGGACTAGGGTCTTTTTTCAACAACTTAGATCCAAATATAAAGAAACTTACAAGAAAAAACTGAAAGAAAGATTATTAAATGGAAAAGTAGTCTTTAATAACATGCCTAAATAATATATAATAGGGTGTTATGGGTAAATTGTCACTATTTTTAATTTTGCACATATGTATTGTTTGTTTTTGATTCCCCCCCCCCAACTGCACAGTATAGTAGGGTCAGTTGGGCACCATCTGTGAGAAAAAAAAAAGCACTATGATGTAATTCACTCCACTGGAAATTCAGAAATAACATGCTGTACAGCATGCCATTCATACCAGAAGATCCAATATAAATATTTAAGAGTGTTTGGGTGTCAATCTGAGGACTGTGCAAAGGAATTGGGAAGAGTTGGATGAGTCTAATGGTGATTACGAAGGTGTTTGGAGTGATCACTAGTGATGGCAACATTATGCCTCCATTCATCTTCCCACAGGGCCTCAGACTCAACACAAAGACCTACCTCAAGTGCCTTGGGGAGGTAGTTCTGCCCTGCATCAAGAGGGTGGCTGCTGGAAGACCCTATGTCTGGCAACAGGATTCTGCACCATGTCACACAAGCAGGAGAACCCAGTCATGGCTTTCATACACTTCCTGCAACCACATCATCCCTTACATCTGACCACCTAACTCCCCAGACTGCAACCCCTGTGAATATTATGTGTGGGGTGCAGGTGAGCAAGAGATGACCAAAACTCCTTGTAATACCAAAGAAGATCTGAAGGTGAGGATTATGGCAGCATTCACCAACTTAAACAAGGAGACTGTCCAGAAGAGGTGGGAACAAAGGGTGATTGCATATATTCTATAGGACAATGTCTATAGCTTCTTTTACAGGGATTTCAGTAAATAAACTTTCTGTCTAGGGAGGCTAGAATGGTATTATTTGGTTTTTTTTTTTTTTTTTAGACTGTAGTATGTTGAAGAATTTGCAAATGGACTGAATTATAGACAGTTTATCCAGAAATTCAAGCACAATACACAAAAATTGGAAAAATACAATAAGAAAAAAAAATTAAAGAGACCTTGTTGGTTCATTTTAGTTAAACTTGTTTGAATGAATACTTGCTGCCTAAATATACCTTATTCATATATAAAATGACTGACTCATTAAGTGAGTATGACTATTACTGAAGTTTTTCATCTATTTGAGTTTGGGAATTCAGAGTTTTCCTTCTGCTAGACTGGTTGTCAGCCAAGGTTGAATAACCGTAGCTGGAAAGAGGAGAGTTGAATTTATTCCTTTCATAAGTATTGTTTGTTTATTTTTTCTTCATTTTGATAATTTTTCTTGTTTTCTGGTAAATACTTAAATTGTCCAATGTCTGAGTACTTTCAGCTTTGAGAAACCTTTATCAAAGATGATATCAAATATTGTGTATTAGCAAAAAAAAAATAAAAAATCTGTCAACCAGTCTATTTGTGGGAGATAATTGTTTTAAGGCAAGCAATGTTTGTAATTCTAGGGCTTGAAAATCAAGAGAGCATTAATTGTAATAAGTAAAATTCATTGTTCACTTATCTTGTCCCTATTCAGTTTTGCTGAAATTACATCACTCATCAGGAGACTTGATTGTAAAATTCAGTTTATCTTCATATTTTTCTTAACAGATGTTAATTCATGACAGCAACATATTTGATTTTTGTTCTTGCTTGTTATCTTATGATGTAAACTTATTTAAATTCAATTTGGTTATGTCTTTCATAATTTTTTATGTAGTTGAAAATTAGATATTAATGTGACTTTTCAGGTGAATTCTAAGTTCTTGATTTGATCCACTTCCCAAAATCTGACCAAAGGTGGCCACACCAGTTTTTTTTTTTTTTTTGTTTTCCTTAATCCCTTCTTGCTCAAGCCAAGTACATTTTTATCAAATCTTAAAGCATTTTCCACAGATTGTCTTAAACTGCCAATTACATATATTTTGAATTTTTTTGTATGCTTTAAAAATTTTTTTTCAAAATATATTTGTTTAATTCTATTTTACAGGATTAATTCTTGTGGGCGAACCCTATTACAATGAAGCTGGATATGAGAAGCAGAGGGGGACCCAACAGGGTATTGAGAACAGCCGAATGTACAATGAAATGGCCATTGTCAAACTTGTACAAGTAAGTTAAGTCAGGCCTCATAACTTTTAAATTTCTCTCTCTCTCTTTTTTTTTGTGTGTGTGTGTGTGTATATATATATATATAATCTCAACCACAGACAGTGTTTTGCTGTATCACAGCTCATTAGTGTGGCTAAACATCTGATTGCTTAAAGCCGGGATCAAAACTCAATTTGACATCAGTCAGACCCTTACCCCTAGGCTATCGGCATGTGGCAGAGAAAGGGAATTTTTAATGCATTATATACATGATATATAACACCACAATACAGGCTGTCATGGTGCTCAATTCTTATGAAGTGCGATGTGTTTAAAGCAGCAGCAGCCATTAAAAATTACCTTTTCCCCATAGTGCTCAATTGGTGAACAAGTACACAATCATTTATTTTTATATTTATTTTATTTTTTATTTTTTTATTTTTTGACATTCCTGATGGGCTCCAAATTCTGTAAATAAAAACAAGAAAAAGTAAAAGATTAGCAATGCAACCCTGGGAAATATCCTCTCTGATTGAGAACCCCCTGAGATACATGGTACTAATCTTGTTGAAGCTAAATGATATTAAAGATCTCAAAAAATGATTGCTGGTCTAATATTTTCAGCGGTAAAGCATGTCAGGGTCAGAAAGGAATTTGCACTTGCACAAAATCCCACATACACTGAAGTTTCTTGCAAAATTTGAGCTCTATTCTTAAATTTGCATAATTTTCTCTACCTTAACCCATGTTTGTTGAGGTCTTTCATCCTTTATTCGAATCCATTTTATATTACAGTTAAAATAGACTATGAACTGCAAATGTCTACACTATATTATAATGACTCACTTAGCTCTGTGGATGTATTTAGAGTTCTAACCAGAATTTTACTGTATAATATCTTCAAACCATAAAATAATTAACAATGTGTATTTATTTATATATTTCCTGTCCCATCTGAGGACATAAGACAGACTGAAGTACAAGTGTGATAGTGCTTAACATCCTGTAAATATATAAAGACGTATTGTACTAATGCTTTTTGCTGGTATAAATTACCATCTCGGTATGTATTATGTATTTGTGATTTTATTTTTATGTAAATAGATAACAGCAATAATTAATAAAAGGTTCTGATCTTATTATAGTTCTCCCTTATTGCAGATTAGGTTTCTCATGTTTTTGGCAATCTAATTATTTTTTCAACAGGAATTAAATTTGCAAATCAAATGTAATTGTTTCTATTTTACAAGTTTCTGTAAAATTACTTTAAGTAGGAGTTAAAACAAATATGATAAATTACTGTATCCAACAATGATAGGTAATGAAAATTTTTTTCTATCATATATTATGAGGTTTTAAGAAAAGAAGTCATCATTTTTGACTGTATGGTGTACTAGTATGATAATAAAAAGAAAACAATTAACTTTTAATCCTGTTGGGATTTACGGATTACTTTGGAAGTGTGCTTGTCAAGCTCTCTGCCTCTGTGTAGAGAGGAACCCAGACGAGGGTATGCCAAAGGGCAGAGTCTCGTCTGGGGTGGTAGACAGTTACCCAACCTCGTTTTTACAGGGGTCTACAGGGATATTTTTGCCCGAGCCTATGGGTTCGAATACCCCACAATAAACTCAGCCTTGTGCCACATCTGACTGCATGGGGCAGTTAGTGAATATCATCCTGTTTGGGGAATTGTTTTGTTTTAATGTATAATTCAAATAATTCAGTCCAAGATAATTATTTTATAAGTTTCATTTAGTATTAATTACCAGAGGGACAATATTTTCATCAAGCATTATTTCTTTGCAGGCAATGACGAACATGACACGAAAATTACCGCCAGTATTTACACAAGAGGTACAAGAGCATTTGCTTCTAAATGGGCCCAAGTAAGTATTGGTTTTGTCTATGTTTATCAGACTATATTTAAATTTTAAAAAAAAAATATTGAGCATTGACCAATATTTTTTTTTTTTTGTTCAGATAAGTGTTACAATAAAAACAATTCTTATTTTTTATTTATTTTTCCTTCCTGCCATTTCTCATCTTGCAGGAAATTTATTACATCATGTATGTTTAAGATTGGTAACCACAGAAAATTTAACTTGTACTTTACATTATGGCAGAAGATGATTTATAAACTCTATATATTGGACTTAGGGTGTGTAATTGAATGACAGAATGGGAGGTGGAGAAATGTCCTGTTTTGTGTGTTGTTCTTTGAAAGGACGTCTTCAGACTGATATTGGTAAAATTTATGTTATAAAGAAGTCCTTTTGAAGGATGAAACGTGTCAGAATTTTTCCATTTTGTCATTCAATTACCCACTTTACAAGATATAATGGAAGTTAAGATTTATTTTGTGTTCATTTTTGTGTATGTGTGTGACTGACCAAATATCTGGATTCTGGAAGATTTGTGTGGACAGTGTTCTGAGAACTAATCAACCTATTTCTGTTTATCAAAAGCCTGTCAATTTTGGTGAGAACTAAGAATTTTTGTTTTTAAGTTTATTTGTTCTAAAAGCAACTAATATGAATTTAATTTAAACTTTTGTATTGTCTTTGTGTTGTTCCAAACATCGTCTTCACTATATTAACTTTGATCCTTGCCTCTTTTGCTCTTTCTATGCACTTTCTATGCACTTTCTTCTATGCACTTTCTTCTATGCACTTTCTTCTATGCACTTTCTTCTATGCACTTTCTTCTATGCACTTTCTTCTATGCACTTTCTATGCACTTTCTTCTATGCACTTTCTTCACATAGTTATACTTCTGTACCTGCTTGTTTTTTGACATCCCCAATGTGTAGACCACACTTTAGGCTGTCTTTTTTGTTGATGACCAAACTTCATAGTCCTTTCAGTTTCTTTTCTGACTGCCATCAATTGTGTCATCCATGTATCTTATGTTGTACAAGTAATATCCACTGATAATAAATCCTGGTAGGACTTCTAGTTCTTTTGCTGTAGAGGTTACATAAACTTGGTTTGAAGACACCTGCTTATCTGTTTTTCTGCCTTCACTGAACCTGTTCTCTATATACATGTGTGGAAGCACAGGTGGTGTAATGGAGTGTGGCTCAGATTGGAGAAGGTATCAATCTATATACTTTCCTCTCCCAGCTATGGTTAAATAGTATGACTTGTATCTGGAAAAAAAAAATGTTTTTATAATCCTCAAAGTAAGGTATAAGTAAACAAATCAATCTCTCCACACCTCATTTACTCTCTTTTAATTGTCTGAGAGAACCCATTTTGCCTTGCATCTGTATGGCTGATGCTAACCTCCCAGAAAGTGACTTGCTGCACCTTCTTAGGCTAAGGTTTTACACTGACATGAAGCAGAATTATTACCTTTAATCAATTGCTAGTGTTGTGCTAAACATTTTTTCTTACTAGAATCCATCTAGCATATTTATAAATCTACCATCTGTCCAGGCATTGAATATTGCTGCCACGTCTGGTCTGGTGCTTCTGCTATGTATTTAGAGATTCTTGATAAAACAAACAAAGAATCTGCAATGTTATTGGTCCTGACCTGGCATCTCAGCTTTTAGTCACTTTCCCACCAACATAGCTTCCCTCTGCCTTTTCTATAAATATTTTCATGGTAATTGTTCTGATGAACTTTCATCTTTAATATCTAGACACCATGAATTTGAGTGCAGTACTAGATTGGCAGCAAGGTCTCATCATTTTACAGTTGAAATGACTAGATGCAGCCTTAGGTTCTATGTTGTTTCTTTTCTTGCACTTCTTGCTTGCGGAACTCTTTTGGTTTCTTGCTTCTCAGTCAACTTTGATCTTCAAAAAATGAAATGCAATATCACTTCTAATCGTTTGTCTTAATTTCTCTTCTTTTTACTTGTCTATCTCCTTAATGATATTTTTTTCTAATGTGCT